TAGTTGTATGGCAAAAGTTAAGTATCAAAGTATCCATGTATAATCAGCAATCTTGTTGGTCTTATCCTTATGTAATCGCTGTGTATAATTTGTTTATATTTAGTACTGTAGTTGTTTATGTTTAGTAGGTATGCATAATGAGTGAACTCATTCCAACTATGTAGGAAGAGATTTGAATATTGTTGAATTTTGCTTGAAAATTGTAGGCGTTTTTTGGGGGGAAGAAAAGAAATCTATCCCCTCCACTTGAACCAACCATAGCAGACCAAAAAACGGGGATGCAGAATAGCCTACTACCCCCAAAAAACCATCCCCCCCCAGGTGAAACGATAACTACGTCACAAAATCTGCCAACTAACCAATATGAGGAGCCGTGTTCGCGACTGAAATACAAAATCAAATCTCAAAATCAAACAAGCATCGGAATAATGTTAGTTACTTAGGCTAAGTTAATACCCTATTTCTTAAATTTTTTTATCGTTGATTTACGTTTTGGTTATTTTTTTGTTAGTTTTCATAAAAAACTTTATAAATAGGCTAACTTAAGTTAGTTGTAAATAATGTTTTTTGATTAGTACCGTAACCGTGTTAAATGACGCTGTCAATTCCACTTTGTGGGTAAAAGACGAAGGAGGAGGTATAAGGTGATAAATTGTGTTTTTGTTTTTAAAGTTATATATTTATAATATAATATACAAATAAAACATAAACAAAAAAATTTTGAAATCAATGTGTATAATAGAAAAATTATAATTTACAGGTTAGTTAATCGATATATCTAACCGAACAAGTTTCGATATATATCGTTATTCATCAGATAATAAACCGTCAGTCGTCAGGGTCTCTATACGGAACTGCAGCTACAAAAGAGGACGTTAAACAGACAATTTATAATACAGTCAAATAACCTTTAAGTTAAGGCTTAAACTTACGATTTTTAGGTTATGAATGGACCATAATCATATAAAGGTTATTAAATGGTTTTCTAGGGATTCATTTAGACTTTAGAAAGAAGGTCCAAGTCAATTTTCAAATCAAGGTTTTAAAGTTATGTATGCCTAGGTCTAGGTTACTTACGTTCAAGTTTTTCTTTGTCCAATTTTATACGATCGCAGACAGCATTAATCAGATTTACCCCGGACATTTTCAAGATTTTCTTATATCCACGGTATCATAAACGTGCACACCACGACCCTATGATTAAATTAATGTTAAAACAACCTAAAAGATAAAAGATTAGGTACTTCGGTACTTCCTACCTAACCTAACAACCTAACAAACAACAACTTGACATTACAGAATACCAATACAGAGTCAGTGCGAGGTGCGAGTGCGAGTGCAGTGCAGACGCAGACCGTCGGGTCGTGAAGTTGAAGTCGGCGCTTTTTCAAATTTAACGGGTTGGTACGCCTGCGGACGCCACAAACGCTTTTTGCGGGGGCACGATTTGTTTTTCAGGATTCATTTTGCCAACAGTGTCATTTGGAGGCTTCTGATTGACGTCCAAGCAAACTAAACAAACTTACATAGGGATCGTTAAAAAATTGCAAGAAAACGTTTTATGGTTTTATTTTGTAGAGTTGGGTTTGCAGAATGACATACTAAAAGTTGCCAAAAATCGGTGCACGAGAAAACCACTAAAATCACAATTTAAAATGGCGGCTTTTTCCAACATTGGACAAATTCACTGAGCTATAATTCTAACTGGAGGTAGCACTGAATGTCAAAGATGCGTGTCGCCAGCCGCCATGTTTGCGTGAGGTGTGAGTTATAAAGAAGCCATGTTATTGGATGAAAAAACTCACTGCTATACCAACCTAACAAAATCAGCGACACGCTCTTGACAGACTTCTGCCATGGCAGTGCTACCTCCAGTTATAATTTTAGCTCAGTGGACAAATTAAAAAAACATATTTCACATGCATTTGTTATACACATTTTTTGAGATATTGACTTGGGACCACCGCCTGTATTTATTGGGTGGTTAGTACTTCATTTTGATAGGGATCATGTTTTTGGCCGCCATCTTGGATCCGCCATATTGGACATAGAAAATTTTTTTTCAATGTAATGATAGTGTTGTGACACATCATTACCAACTACATTTTTACACTGATTTCAATGCCGAAATCCGTTTTTAAATATCTTTATTCATTTAGAAGATATATTCAAACGAAAACTCTCCACCATACATTTCTTATGGACGTTTCGTAGTTTGATAATTGTTTTAAAATTATTTTTCTTATATCTCCAGTTCTTATTGACGCTTGTAGTTCGTTCTAGGCTTAAAATATTCAGTAATGTAAGGGCTTTCATTTTAGCTCTTGATCATTAAAATCAGACGAGTTAAAGACCAGCTACGAACCTCAGAACAATATTAAATTTAACTTTTTAGAAATATATTTTTACTAAAAGATTTATGACTCGGGTTGTTAATACGTCACCAAGTTCTTTCTGGGGCCCATTTCATAATAAAGTACAAACTAATATTATTAGTAAATCAGCTGATCGCCCAATGCAAAACTAATGGAAATTACAAGTTACAAGTTGTAACTTGTAACTTGTATTGTAGTTGATTATGAAATGGGCCCCTGGTCTCAAATTACTCAGTGAATGTTTAGCTTTGATTTTATTAATCACTAAACAAAATCTGACACTTTTAAAATGAGTCATGGTTCTTAATTCAACATTAAAATGTATTTATTTTGAAATTTGTCTTTACTTAAGGACATATATCCCCAACCGTAATAACTCCCGGAAAGTAATCCATAGCTTAAATAAAAGTCAATAATTTGGCGAATTATTTAAGACTATAAAGAGTTTTGGGAGTTATTTAGAATTGGGGATATACTACGTCTTTAACTAAAGACAAATTTCAATAAATACATTTTAATGTTAAATTATGGTCCATGACTCATTTTAAAATTGTCTGAGTAATTTGAGACCAAAAAAACTTTGTGTCGTATTAACAACCCGAGTTATAAATTTTTTAATAAAAATATATTTCTAAAAAGTTAAATTTAATATTGTTCTGAGGTTCGTAGCTGGTATTTAACTCGTCTGATTTAAATGATCAAGAGCTCAAATGAAAGCCCTTACATTACTGAATATTTTAAGCCTAGAACGAACTACAAGCGTCAATAAGAACTGGAGATATAAGAAAAATAATTATCAAACTACGAAACATCCATAAGAAATGTATGGTGGAGAGTTTTCGTTTGAATATATCTTCTAAATGAATAAAGATATTTAAAAACGGATTTCTGCATTGAAATCAGTGTAAAAATGTAGTTGGTAATGATGTGTCACAACACTATCATTACATTGAAAAAAAAATTATCTATGTCCAATATGGCGGATCTAAGATGGCGGGCAAAAACATGTTCCCTATCAAAATGATGTAATAACCACCCAATAAATACAGGCGGTGGTCCCAAGTCAATATCTCAAAAAATGTGTATAACAAATGGATGTGAAATATGTTTTTTTAATTTGTCCAATGTTGGAAAAAGCCGCCATTTTAAATTGTGATTTTAGTGGTTTTCTCGTGCACCGATTTTTGGCAACTTTTAGTATGTCATTCTGCAAACCCAACTCTACAAAATAAAACCATAAAACGTTTTCTTGCAATTTTTTTAAGGTCATATCCTATATTTCTCCGACTATATAATGAAGGTTTACAAATCGAAAAATTAGTTCTGTTCAATAAACAAAATTATAAATGCCTCAAATTAAATTTTATATTATTTTAATTATAAAATTAAACTGCCATAACCTAACCAAACTAACCATCGACTTGCTGATAATGAAAAATCGAAATGCTTAATCGAAAAAAATAGTTCTGTTATTAAAATAAAACTAAAAATGGCTCAAATTCAATTTTATAATCAATGTTTTAATTATAAAATTAAAATGTCATAACCTAACCAAACCAACCAAACTTGCTGTTAATGAAAAAATCCTAGACAAAAATTTAGACTTATTGGAGGGATTCGAACCCGACTTTTCCGTTTATCAGCCCAGCACTCTATCCAGTATCCACTATGCCACAGAGGCCAATGGCGATAAATTGTATCGTTCCGGTAAGGTATTCCCTTAGCCAATCAGAAGCCTCCAAATGACACTGTTGGCAAAATTAATCCTGAAATAAAAATTCAGCTTTGCGGGGATGTTGGAAAACCAATTCAATGACAATACGGCACGAAATAATGTTTTTACATGTATATAATGTCAATAATACCTTGATAAAACGTGTATACACGTTAAAAATAATTAATTCATGTATTAAATAGGCATATTTAAGGCAGTCTTGTACATCATACGTAGCTATGGCTTAACAAAACGTGTTCAATTAAAACTCCTAACATGATCTTTTTCCTAAGTCCCGTAAATTACGAAGCTATAAGGCCAAATCTATGGTTGATAGGAACTCGCGTCAGGAAAGAGTGCACAATCCTTTTCCTAAGCCCATCACATCAACTTTGAGCTATTATAATGTTAACATACTGCGTGTAGAATATTCAGTATGAGTATGATTGAGGCAGTCCCGTAAATTATTAAGCTTTATAGCCAAATCTATATGGTTGATCTTAAGTGGTATAAGCCAATGAATGGTATAAGTCAAATCTTTTGTTTATGAATGTATAGAGAAAACTCAAAGCATGATCTTCTCCTTGAACCCCAACTTAGTAGATTATTCTAGTCATAGTGTTAAGTTGCTTGCTCGGTATTCACTAACATATTCACTTAGACCATGGTGGAAGGAAAAAACACCTGTTTTTTCCTTCCACCATGATAGCTTCTAATAGTTTTCATAGTTCTATAGTCAATCGCATAACTGATTTGTAATTGTTACTCTATGACTATTGATTTTCACTCTTTAACAGCTGTTTCGAATGTCACAGTCACAACAGAACAGACAACACTCTGCTCTGACTGAACTGAAAACTGAAGTCTGAATGTCGTCTGTCACACTGTCAGTAAGATTTGGAATTCACAAAATGTATATGTTTATCTTTAAATTTGTTTTACTTATCCAATTATATGTTGAATGACTTAATTTATGCCAATATTTCGATTTCAGAAAAAAATGTAATGCAACAAATTGGGCAGTTAAATAAAGTTATCATGGCGTAGGCCTAGTAGAACTAAATAATAATAAGCTACTGTATTATTTTGTAAACATTCGCAGATTTGTAAAGCTTGTAAGTAGTGCATCTTCCACCCTATTTTAGTTGTTTTACCAAGTAATATTTTATCAGTTGGGACTTCATAACTTCTACAAAAAATGATTTGTAGACTAACTCCATAATAGACCCCTGTATGCTACCTGGTAGATGTAACTAAAAAGCCCCTACAGTACTGACTACTCACCATGCAAACAATAACAACCAACTCAGAAGTTTGTCCTTTTCCCCTCATTTAACTTGTAAAATAAAACATGACTTAACTATCAGATGGTAAAGGTTCATGGGTACACTTCCATATCTGTTGGCACAAACAACCGAATGAGTATTGATTACCGTATTCGATTGTTTAATTCGATATATCGTTTGGTTAGTTAGGTATGGTTAACCTAACCTAACTAACCAAACGATATATTGAATAATCGATATTACTCATTCGGTTGTTTGTGCTAACAGATATGGGGGTGTACCCAGGTTCATTACTTACCCTTAAGCACTATAAGTTTGGGCCTATAATCTCTTACTTGTTCAAACTTGACTAAGTCTAAACATGAACTTTAAATTTTGTCATAAAGAGTTGAACATATATCATGAAAACAGTTGGTAGATTTGTAAATCTTTTTCAGATTCACCTTTTCTTAAAATGGGAGACTATCAGCCGTTGAGATCTGACGATGGTCACGTCAACGCTAGTGCAACATCCCGAAACAAACCACCTGTCTACTACAAGAAACCTATGTCACCATTGCGAAGAGTTGCGTTTGTCTTTTCCGTCTTACTGTGTATTACAGTCATCACAGTATTCCTGTGGGTCATCCCATGCGATTGGTCTAAATGTCCAGCGAGAGCCAAACATCAACCCATCATGTCATGGGAACGCTCCATTGAAGGATTGGGTGAGTTAGTCTTTATTATAGATTTTTTCCACAGTTAAATCAATCATTTAAGTTAGGTACTTAGCCAGAATTAACAAAACAAAAAATATACACAAAAATACAAAAATATGCCTATACAAGGAAAATTTGTCAGAGCATGATTGTGATATGCTTCAAGCCGACCTTGACCAAATATTATTGTGGTGCCTCAAGAATGAAATGGAGCTCAACATCTCCAAATGCACAGTGCTCTCCTTCTCACGACGGGCAAATATCATGATGCATGGTTATAGCCTACTCTTGGAGGAAAACCCCTTTCCAGATCATCTGTTGTTAAAGACCTTGGTGTGACTTTAACATCGTCACTAAGTCCCGATGCTCACCTTGATGCCATTAGTAGAAGAGCAAACTCTGTTCTTGGTTTTATTATTAGAGTGTCTAAGGACGGTTTCTCACCAGAAGCACTAAGGACTCTTAACGTTCAACTTATCCGCCCTATCCTTGAGTACTGTTCTCCAGTGTGGTCACCGTATCAGCTGGGCCACATAGAACTTCTTGAGGGAATTCAAAGACGATTCATTCGAATTGTTGGACTGCAGCTGGGCTTTCGTTATGAAGATGTACCCTTGGACGAGCTAAGCCACCTCCTTCGTCTTCAACACTTGTCAATCAGGCGTAAAGTCTCCGATCTAATGTTTCTGAAGAAGATAATCTCAGCTTCAGTGGACTCACCTGAATTGTTGGGAAGAATCGACCTACGAGCGTTGAAATCGACAAGATCTAAACAACTGTTTGAGAGGAAATATTGCTCTACACAATATGCGTACCACAGCACTATGCCACGTCTCCATCACCTTGAAAACTGTCTTCCTGACCACCTGGACTTCTTCTCCATGTCCGATGAAGTTTTTAGAAATGGGCTGAAGAGTTTCTACGCTTAGCTGCTGTTGAGATTATTATACTGTTACCGTACTTGCTTTTTTTGTTTCTTTATCATTGTAGTTGTTGTTTAAGTGATTTATTTTACTGTTACTTGTTTTTGGTTCTTTATCTTGTTGCTAATTACCAAATTTGTTGTTCCCTATGTTGATTGTTAATTATTGTTGTTATTTATTTTTATATATTGATATATTTTTGATACATTCCTATTTATTAGGGTTTTTTAGTCAGGTCATCTTCATGTTATATATGACATGTATTATGTAAGTCTGAATGTAACGTCTTGCCATCATTGTATGTATGAAAATGGAGTTTTCCATCTGTAAATAAACAAAAAAAATAAAAAAAACTAGTTGCATTAGCTTAGTACATACATCATCTTATCATAGCTTAGAAGTTACATTTATTATAAAACATACCTTACATGAGACTTACAACAGAGATTTACAAATTGGCTTACATAATGCTTTTAAAATTTATAAATAATAGCTTTCTTATAAATTAATATTTTTACAATAGCTAGCTTTCTTAGAGCTGATATGAGTAAGGAATTCCTGGATACTGTAAGAGGTAAAATTTATCAGAAGAGATTTTAATAGTTTTTTATTTTTATTTTAGGCAATTATTTTGCCCTATTATTTAATGATAGCTACAATGGTTAAAGTGTAATTTTGATTAGTCTGCTTACATTTTTTTGCACGGTGAATCCAAAAATGCAATCAGTTTTTGTTGTAAAGGCTCCTATAAGTGGCTGTAAAACGAAGTTATTTATGAAACTTCACATTAGGTGTAGGGTGAACTTCAGTTTCGTACAGGAGGCTAAAATCACTATTTGATCTCTTTGATAAACAGAAGTTATTGAGTTGTTTTTGTCTGTGTTGATTACCCTGTACCGGTACTTGATTTTCAGTTAAGCTGGTTCAAATTAAACTGGGCTGTTAGCCTTGCAAGACACTTTGCTACCTAACCTAAACTCAGTAGTGAATTTTGATCATCATTAGGCTACTTGGTCTCACTAGTCTACACTGTTGAAACCACATCTCAAAGTCTTTTTGAGGATGATTGCCTCTTCGTCTTTATAAAATGCGAGGCCTGGGGCAATACATAATTGCGAGGCCTTGTTTAATAATGCCAACCGGGGGGTATGGGATAAGGGATACCATTATATGCATGTAAAATCAAGTTGTCTAACCATTTACTCTTGTTAAATATTTAAACTAGCAAGTTCATTGGACAAGACTATTGGTTTCCAACAGAGATTGATCAAGCTTACTTATTTATTTGACTTCTGCTGTGCCTCTGATACTCTACAACCTTCAATGAACTTACTTCACTATCAGAGGGCGGTTTACTCACTTTATCCTCTGAATCATCTTTAAGAGAAGCATTTTCTTTCTTTAATTTGTCAAGTCAGGATTTAAGGTCTATAACTTTACCATTAACTATTTCCAACTAGACGTTTCATTTTGTTCCACCACAGTATCTTAGAAATGAAAATACTCATTAAGCTCTAGATTTTTGCAGTATAACTTGTTAATTTTTTGGACAAGACTTATATTTTTATCGTAGACTTCACCCAGAGTTACAAGAAAATTTGATATTTTGTTGATCAAACAAGTAAGATCAACACCAGGATGGTTTACTAAAAATAATTAACTTAAGCTGAGAGTTCAAGCAAAATTTCTTCAGCGTGACTGTCAATATTTACTTTTTCTGATAGGCTAGCTGAAATTCATCTTAAAATTACAATAATAAGTTGCAGTTTAAACTAAAAAACTTAATTCACATTCAATATTACATCAAAAACATAAAAGACCATTTAAGAGAATATGCATTCAAAGCTCCAAAGAAGTTGGTGTTGGCCGTGGGCGCGGCAGCTAGATAGAATCTGATTATTGACAGCCCCTTCAGTTTTTTGGACGGAAAACAGAACGCTTGAAAGCAGTGCAAGTTGTGTCTACACTTGATTATACAGCACAAGTAGCTTAGACGACGAGGTGGGTAGCCGGCAGCGTGTACTGATCTTGGGCAATGAGCAGAGTTGCAATAAACAGGGTTACGTCTCAGCGGGGAAATCACCGTTTGTTAGGTTGGTAAATTATTCGAGCAGCCCAGCATGCTCAAATTATGCTGCGAAGTATCTGCCTTGGTATCATTTGATAAGTTAGGTTGTGTCCATAGACGTTCTATGTTGTAGAGTTAGTCACATCACAAGTCCACATTTATGTACAGTACTCACAACGTGTTTGGCGATTTTAGCTTAAACGATAAGTTCTTTAAAAACTCTTTGAGACACTTGTTTACACCCTTATTAGTCTGCAACTGATTATATTCAGTAATAAAGCTGGAGCGACGCACGAAACAACCACCTCATGTGGCCCAGTGCTGCCAACGAAACTAAAATGTTTAACCTAATGAAGATTTAGCTAGTACAATTATAGTGTAAAGACAATGTAGGTACTTTTTCCATATAGGTTACTTGCAAACTTAAATATTCCTTATTTCTTTCAGAAATCAAAGGTCCACTGAAAATTGTGAGAGGCGCCCAAGGACTAAATATTGTAGCCATGTACAAGGCACCTGTCCAGAAATCCGATTTGGGCAGAGGTTATGACCAGTTCCCACCAAAAGGTACATAAATTGGTTTATACAATTTTTAACTAAATTAAGCACTTTTCTAGAATTTTTTTATCAGTGCCAACATTAGACCTGACCTATTAACTAATTAATTATGACAAGAGTGTAAATCATGATTGTGACAATAACTTAGTAAGACTTAGTAAGTAATAAATCCATATTCACCCCATAAAACCACATGAAAGCCAGTTCACATTCGAAATCTGTATTGGAAATTTTCTCTGTAAGGTAATCCTTTATTAAACAATAATAGACTGATAGAACGAGTATGATAAATTGTAAAAACACAACAATAATAGATCTGACAAATAGTATTTGTTTATTAGCTTTTTTAAAATCTTAAGTAAGTATGTGGAATTTGAAAGTTTTCAGAGTAAAAAATACAACAAAACTCATATTTACGCCATAATCCTCTATGAAATCCTGTTCTCATCATCTGACCAGAGGATGCTTTCACTTTTCATGCTAGATAAGTCTTCACTCTCTTACATCCAGTCATATCAAAAGTGAAGTTTCATCAACAGTTTAGTCGCTTTTGATTTCATCCCGGGATGATAATTTTACCTATAGCATCAAGGGTTAAAAGACACAATATAATATTTTGTTTGTTTTTAAAGCTCTTTAACACATCCAATAAACCCATGGAATTTTTAGATTAAAACGCATACAACCCGCTGTGAAAGCATGTTCTCATGACCCAGCCAGGATGCTTAAATGTGTATATGACATATCCAATATAATTTTACATAAGAGAGTATTGCATTGTAATATAATTTGTAATTGTATGTAAGACACAACTCCACATTGTGTTCAATCTCTTACATAAAATCATATCAAAAGTGGGGTTTTATCAACAGTAGTCACTATAGATTTCACTATACTATTTTTACCTATAGACTACCACCATAACTCTTCACCGGGGAATAAAAGACACAATTTACTGCTTTAATTCTAAAGCTCTTTTGAACACATCCACTAAACACAAGGAATTTTTAGGTTTTCAGAGTATATAATGACAAAATGTACCGATTTTGTTGAAAAAGGCAACAAATCAATACAAGTTAACGCGAAGAACAGTCAGCTGTTTTGAACAATAGATCAGTATAGACCAGAATGCACCACGCACTAAAAGAGTAGAGGGTCTAGTCGGATGGTCATTTGCTTCCACCAGCCCCAGTTCGTTTCCTAGCTCCTGTGTAACTGGTTCGGTAAGCCTTTCGTCCGTGCAAATTAAATTCATCTCGCGGCGTTTGGTCGGTTAGATTTTCATTTCCTCGAAATCGTTTAGCCTATATCCCTAAGGGATATATTTGCAACGCGGTTGGAAATTAGAATCAGTTTTGTAATTCAAAAAGTGTCAAAAGTTTGTTTTAACCGGCCAACGAAGTCCGCCATTTGAAAATTCACGTTCGTCACGCAAGTTCAAATTGATCACGTTTTTGAATAGAATACCGGCTAGTTACAATTCCCCATCCCTATCCTTCAAGTAGTGTTTGTGTTTAGTGTGGACGTCCGAATTTGTAAGTAATTTGTGTTATTTATTTGTTAAATTTAGAATTCAGTGAGTCGCACATTGTAATTTTCCTGTCATATTTTGTTATTTCATGTCAAATGATCACATGGTTTCCAGGTTCGAATTCAAGTCACTGATTTTTGTATCCATTTATAGTGTAATAATCTGTAATATTTTCTAAGCTGTGATAATCAAATAGTATTAAGAACAAATAGACGAAAATGTTTTTATAGGGAAATTCAGAGTTAGTTAATAAGATTTTCATAGTGTTGGAATTTTTACACAGAGTCATTATCAATTTTCATTGTTGAGTAAATGGTACAGTTCTTTTAAAGAGTGTCACAGTCAGTATCTTTTGGGGGAAATAAATTAATGTCAGAGGAGGGAGCAGGTAGCTGGTTCGATTGATGCGGAAGTGTTGTCGGAGGTTGTGTCAGTTTGAACATAGATGAACCGCCAAAGTACCAAATTAGCTATAAAATAATAAAGCAACATTCTAATAAACATTACTACGATTGAATACAATATTGTTAAATCAGTTGGACTGCGAGACGACCTTCGTTTTTAAATCGTTGGCCAACGAAAAGGATTTGCTTGGTACTGGTCATCTCAAAATTAAATTAAATACCACTCTTCCGTTAATACTTTCGTGATCGGTGTGAAACCGCACCGTACCTCCCCTTTGATAAATTCATTCAACCGTTTCAATAATTTTCAACTGATTGTGTAACTCAAGGTCATTTTGATTATATAAAACACAAACAGCAACTGTAAATTGAAAAATGTAATTATCAAATTCTGTGCAATAAATTCAAATTGTTACTCATTTTATAGTTCTCAATAACCTTGGTAAATCATTATTAGTAGTATTATTCAAACATTGAAATAAAGGTAATTCAGTAAATCATAGGCCACTACAAAAGATTCACCTTTTAAGTGCAACACTAAATAATAGTGTAGTAGTGAGCAAATTAAATTCAGTGTAGATTAAGATTGGTTATTATTTTGAAATCAAAGGTATTACAGTCTGGAAGAACTTTCAAACAGTACCATGAACGTCCCCTAAGGACCTTTGGGGAGTATTCTTATTTTACAGAGCCCACACAAATATTTCTTTAACACCAAGCTTCCACTGCCAAGCTCTGTTTTGTATTTTTACTTCCAAGTTCTTCCAACCCAGGGGCAACCAAGATTTGTAAAGAATTCACTTTGAGAGCATTGCAAGGAGTAGATATATTTAAATACAATATTTAAATATATGAGTGAAATAAGCAGGGTTTCTTTATTTTTTCTTTACAAAAACTCATATTTACCCCATACGATATGATGCTTTGCCCATGATGCTTTTTGAAACTCATATTGGATAAGTATTTACTCTTGTATACCCAGTTTCATTCTAAGTAGAAGTAGAGCAATAAGTGTTGTAGCATTAAAAAATAACATGTGAACCCTTTTTTACAATTTTCTTCACAACTCTTCATTAGACAATAAATGACATGAAATACTAATTTGTTTGTATATCATCCACAAAACCCTATGGAATTTTGATGATTTTACAGTCAAAAGTGACAAAACCCATATTTACCCCATACGACCCCTTAGGCCGGCCGCATACTGGTCAGACAAAACGTTTTTTGAGAAAACGATTTTTTCAAAAGACGTTTTGCCGTCAAACAAAAATGTTGCATCTGTGTGCGGTAGTCTCAGACAAAAGACAAAAACCTGGAGGGAAAACAAATTCTGTCCGTTCCTTTGTAGAAAAGTGAAAACGCACTAACATGTGTTTATGATGTGCGTGTGGGGTTTTTATAACAATGAACGAGGAAGTGGAGCTACCCACTCCCGACGTCTTTTGACAAAACGGCCGGCCGCACACTGATCAGACGTTTTGTTAAAAGACGTCGGAAGTGAGTGGGCTACCATGCAGTTAAATGGAAGCATCACACACTGATGAGACAGAGGTTTCAGACGCGTTGTTTTGTCTGAAGACGTTTTTGTGATCGCCTCCAATATTTCGTCTGAAGCCAAAACACGGTCAGACAAACAGTTCTGCGCATGCGCGGAGGGCGGATACAGTACAACTTATCCATAGTGTATATTGTAATAATTTTTCTTACAGCTAGTAGAAGTTTATTTTCGATTTATGCTTAAAATAATAAAAATGTTAATTCAATTTCAAATATTTCAACTTATTCCATATATTGTAATCATTTTCTTTACATTTAGTAGTAGTTCATTTTCGAATTATGCAGAAAATAATAAAAATGTTAGTTCAATTTCAAATATTTCAACTTATTCCATATATTGTAATCATTTTCTTTGCAGTTAGTAGTAGTTCATTTTTGATTTATGCAGAAAATAATAAAAATGTTAGTTCAATTTCAAATATGTCAGCTTATGCTCCCTTCCTTCGTTTAGTTCTGCGTTGTATAAAGTTCCACAACATAATTGCTACGTCCACTTCCTCATCCATTTTATTAACACCATACAGTCTCTGGCTTTTCACAACACTGGTCTACGGGTGACTGAATTTAGTTTTCCCTCTAGTTTTTGTCTTTTGTCTAAGACCACTGCACACCGACATTTTTGTTTTCCGACAAGACGTCTTCCGAAACCACGTTTTGTCGAAAGACGTTTGTCTGATCAGTGTGTGGACGGCCTTTCAAAACATGATCAGAAACACACATTACATAGTCATGTGAACATGGTGGCAGGTGAACATGAAGATGGTAAAACTACTGTATTGAGAATACACGTTATATAGCGGACATGTGTTAGCTAACCTGAGGCAATGTTTTTAATCTCAGCGGGTAATTTGTTGTAAAAGTTTTGTAAAATTCATATATAGGTATATATATGTCCGTTAGCGCGATAACTCAAGTAAAAATGATCTGATTTTGAGGAAATTTTGTACAAACGTGTAAACCTACGTTTATCCGAAACCGGCATGATTGGACTATTGAAACAGGAGTTTATGGGGGGTTTTATGGGGTAAAATAGGGTTTTCCCTTTTTTGACTCTAAAAACATAAAATTTTGCAATTTCTTTCAAAACCATTTTGTAGAGCTTAACAAAAATATTTTGTATATTGAAGTGTTTTAGTACGGTTATTGATTACACAGAAAATTCAAATAATTGTAAATTTAAAATTCCCAGGCGAGGGTATTTACTATTAAGTAATTTTTTATTGTTCTATGCTTACTGGATTTTTTACAATTTTCCCGAAGGAAACAGTTTTAGCACTTGTTACTATTTAATGTCGATTTGTATTTAGAGAATGCCATTAATTAGCCTAGTGACAACTAACTGGCATGTAGGTTCAGAAAAGATCCTGTTTGGGATTTAATTACCAACTTTCCAAGTATAATTCTAACATTTTACATTTTGTTTTTAAGATAGCTTACTACCTTGACATTTGTACGTAATTCTATCCATCACTGTCATCTAGGTCTGATATCTTTTATGGGAACGACGGGAATAATAGCTTGGTTCTTCGGAGCTCCTTCACCAACCCACCTGGATTGCCTGTCCCTCAAGATCAATGACAACTCTCTGCAGGATTGCTTAGTCCGAGGGTCCAGAGGCTATTTGGCTGCGGTCGACGCACTTTCTGGTAAATTATTTTTATATAAAGTTATGTTTCTAATGAGGGGACCCATGCATTAACATTTCAATAGGGCTCAAAACTTAATTCCAATGTACTTTTATATTATTTTTAATAATGCAATATTCTTTTGCTTTTCAAAGCTCTAGATCTCTAAACCATTTAAAGGCTTAAAAAGATTGATTTGCCTACCTCCATCAGATTAAACATCAACAACCTATTTCAAGTGTGCTGTATCATAAGTCATATTTATGATGACTGTCATATTTAGTATGATATCTGCATATCGTTCACGAAAATCGGTTAACTACGACAACTGAAAAAAAGATGCTGAAAAGCAGAAAACAGAGAAAACCATTATTGTATTAACCCTCCGAGTGTCCCTAGTTTTGGCCTTAATGTTTGCCTATTTTTTGCGCATTTGCAAGGTTTTATTAAAACGGATCTGAGAAGCTTAAAAACAATGTTAATTATACTGTTCTATATACCATTTTGTTTTGAAAATCATGGGCTTCAATATTATACATAAAAGATAAGGAACATTTGTTTCAAAAAAATTTTTTAGGTAAAAAAAAAATATTTTGGAAAATTTTCAAAAAAAAAATAAGTTTGCGCTCAATGAAATTGTATAAATTATAGGCCTATAAATATTTGAAAATAGCCACTTTGTTCAGAATTTTATGAGGATTCCAAAAATATAATAATATAAGGAAGTAGATTTGCAAATAAATAAGTTATGGGCAAAAAACAGATTTCGGTACATAGCGTTTAGCTAAAAATGCATAGCCTAACCATAGCTAGGAATCTGGCTGATAATTTACATCAATATCACTACCTACCTCTTCAGGGTCATCAACCAGCCCTTCAAAATCACTTAAATCTTCTTATAATGCACCACGTATATCACTACTTTTGATTTTTAACACTAAAACAATGATAAACGTAATAAAACACATCAGTCATCGGTGCGAGGTTAACCAAGCTGTTTACAAATACGCACGTCAGCTGTCTGCTACAATTATGATCGGCTCGAGAAAAAAAAGCGCTTAGAGACAGACCTCGAGAGAAAGCTTAGAATCTGCCAAATAAAACGATACCTAACTCGATCCAGTTCAATCCGATTTTGTTAGTCATAGAGTCTTCGCCGTAAACAGTGTTTGTGAGTCGAAAAATCGACACAAAACACTACACAAAGTGTGTTATGTGTCGATTTTTTGACACATAACACTCGGAGGGTTAATTAACAAAAATCAATCTATAGACAATGCATGACTGACAACTGACAATGCATGTCAATAATGGCTATAAATATCGGGATCTAAATTTTCATAATTTAAAACAGGGTTAGGCCTATCTTAAAACAAGACTAAGACAAACAAAGTCTTTATTACACTTTGTTTGTTGATTAGTCAATGTTAAGGGATAAGGGTATCCATGTAAATTGATATGTAAATGGTATGACAAGGTTGATAGTCATATGGCACATCAAAATAAAGCTCAGAGAGTGTAGAGAGTGTACAATTATTGGTATGAACAAAAATTCATTAAGGGCTCTTGCCCACAAACCGATTTCCATATTTAACTTTTTTATTTTGGAATTTACATTCCATTTCTTTTACATGAAATATTCACTCCATAAACTTGTCTGTGTGTGTTAAAGGCATTTTTAAGTGGCGTGCAGGCGCGAATAAGTTCCGATTGGTGGATGTGTCATTCCCCGTAGTCACGCCAGACTTGAACTACGATGGATATCACGACTTGGCTGTCACAACGAGAAACAAGCAAAACAGCCAGTTCATCGCTATCATCTCCGGACAGACAGGGTTTGTATGGATTAGAGTTGGATAAGGTTAGGCCTCTTACTTAAACGACAATAAAACAGAGAGTGCATTTTAAGGCGAAGACTGGTAAAGGATGTGTCAGTGTTGAAAGGATGAGATGATAGCTTTGTTAGTGACTAAGATCAGCTGATTTCATGGCCAGGACTATACTGTATATTAGAAGCACAATGATCAAAGACAGCTGGGTCTGGGTCAAGGCCACACTAAAAAGACAGGCCGTAATGTTCGTCCAGCATGACGTCACGATAGAAGACGGCAATGACGTAATTTTGCCGTTTGTGATCAGCTGCTTGTTTTAATCTTTCATTGGAAAATAAATAAATAAGTACTTATACGTCATAGCCGTCTTCTATTGTGACGTCATGCTTGGCGAGCATTACGGCCTGTTTTTTTAGTGTGGCCTTGGTGTGGGTTTAAACCATCAAAACCTACTGAATTTTCTCAGCATCGAACATCTGACTTGCTGACCTCCTGATTTCTCACCGAACACTTTATCCATTCTTCTATCCAGCTTTATAATACTGGTGGTTAGTTATTTACATTTGATCAGATAAATAGATTTGAATCTACATTATTAATAAAGACTATAGCTGGTTATATTTTGTAATTCTTAAAAACATGTATTGTTAACATTTTATTGAATTAGTTAAAATAAAATCAAAGTATTTGCTTTATTTTGCGGTTTAAAAGTTGTTGTTTTACTGAGTAACACTTTTTGTAAGATTTAGATTAATTTAAACTCAAGATATTTACAGCGGTTTTAAGATATATATTTCACTGCGCAACTAAATAACAGTATATACGGTAGGCCTACTGTATTAGTCATATTGACTATTGTTTAATGTGATGGTAATATGATTGACTATACACATAATTGACTTCAAATGTAATGTAAAAATTGAAGCCAAAAAAGTGGTGCAATCTGTTGCTGACAATATTCTGTGTAAATTGATCATCAATCAACTGTTTCCTATGATACTGCATTGATTTTAATTAATATTTATTTAACCCAATACACTAAGTACTAGTACCCTCTGACCTCTGGTGAGATGGTCCTGGAACTATTTTTTTTTTCTTGGCTTCAAATTGTTAGGTAATATTTATCAGTTTTAAAGGAACAATTATTTGTTATTGAGTTTCATCTGTTGTAACGGATGGCACCTGGCAAGGCCACACTAAAAAAACAGGCCGTAATGCTTGTCAAGCATGACGTCACGATAGAAGACGGCAATGACGTAATGTTTGCCGTTTGTGATCAGCTGCTTGTTTTAATCTTTTCTTGGAAAATAAATAAATACCTACGTCATTGCCGTCTGCTATCGTGACGTCAAGCTTGACGAGCATTACGGCCTGTTTTTTCGTGTGGCCTTGCACCTGGCCTCTCCTATCACTTTATAATTTTTTATGATAGGTTCTCTGATAGGTTTATGATAGAATTGTGCTGTATGATAAAAAATTTAATTCATCACATGAGAAAAAAATTTAATGAGCATTTCTCAATTCCCAACCTTGGCGTCGCCTTGGTCTTTAGACTTGAGATTCTGTCAAAAAGAGTCACTTTAGGCCCTACTGATGAAATACACAAGGCCATACTGAACAATCCTAAAGCTTAAAAAATACAGCTAACAGGTGTTGAGTTTTGTCAATGTTAACTAAAGTTAGTTAACTCATTGCAGCTCGGTATTGGGAAAGCCTATGGAAGTTAAAGGCTGTACTGACATCAACAATTTGACCTTAGACAGAGACTACACACTTTATTATAACTGCAGAAAAAACAACAACAGCACTGGAAAAAGTGAGTTAGTTCAAAAAAGTGAGTTATAGTTCGGCCGCTTAGAAAGCGACCTCCTCCAGCATTGGTTTAGCATTAGCGCGCAGGTCGTTTTCTAAGCGGCCGAACTTTAGTAGGTACTGTATTAAATATGTTTTATTTTTCTTGAGTTTAAGACTTGATTTACCCTGTTTTAAAACACTGGGTGCAAGAGACTCCCAATCACTCCTTTCTCTTATGGCAGTCTCAGCTCAGCTGTCAGCTAAATTTAATGAGTGATTACGAGTTATTTACGTTTACTGTTTAGGATCTTATATCTAAATGTGATAACGTGGTTTTCTTTTATTCTGATTCAAAGTAGGTTTCGTTTGTGGTTTTGCATACTATTGCATTAATTTTAATTTGCTCTGTATTAATCAATAACATACATAGTGTACTTTTTATAGGTTTTAATATTTCCTTACATTAATTGTATGGATTTGATTATCATCAATTAAAAAAGATTTTCATCAAACATTTAAGTAATTTACCTGACCAGTATTTATTTAAGGTAAACACCCTCGCTCGATTAATCTCGCTAAACCCATGTTCTCATACATTATACTTCCAAAATTTTATTGAGATAAGTTGAGTTATAAGTTTAGTATAAAAATAGAAAAACCATAATTTAAACAGATAACTATACTAGGTGGCGTTCGCAGAGGCATCCACAAAATTGAGCGGAGTCATCAAGGGTTATATTGTTTTTGTCATACTGCAGCAAAAACAATCGTTTTAATGCATGCGTTGAGGGTCTAAAGTAGCATTTTTACTCTTTAGGGAGTATAAATTGTTTTTAGCCTCTATGGAATGAACATCAGCTGTTGTTAACTCAGTTGGAAATTTCGATTGTAAACGATTGAATGTATCGAAAATATGTATAGATTCGAGCTTCGTAATCATTTTAACCTACAGTCTACAGTCTCTTCCCATAACATTTTAGCATTGCAGATACATTAATCCATTCCCAAACTCAACACTGCTCACCTTTACTACTTCCTTCACCACCCCCTACGTCGTGGACCTGTTTCCCTCTCTTCCCATAGCTTTTTAGGATTGCAGATACGTTAATGTATTTGCTAAAGACAGTTCCTACACTCTGCACTGCTAGCCTTACTACTTCCTTCACCATTTCCTACGTCATAGACCTGTTTCCTTCCCTTTCATAGCATTTTAGGATTGAAGATACATGAAATCTAACTGCCACAGACGGTTCTCACACTATGCTCATACTTTACTACTTCCTAGGCCACTTCCTACGTCGTGGACCTGTTTTCATCACTTTCCATAGCATTTTAGTATTTTAGATACGTTAATCTAATTGCCACAAACATTCTCCACACTCCGCACTGCTAGCCTTTACTACTTCTTCCACCATTTCCTATGTCGTGGGCATGCTTCCATCCCTTCTCATAGCATTTCAGCATTGCAGATACATTAATCTAACTGCTACAAACGGTTTCCAGTTTCCACACTCCACACTGCTCACCATACTACTTCCTTCACCTCTTCCTACGTCGCGGACCTGTTTCCATCTCTTCCCATAGCATTTTAAGATTGTAGCCTAGATACCTTAATCCAATCGGCATACACATTTCCCACAATCCGGACAGCACGCCTTGACTACTTCCTTCACCACTTCCTATGTCCCGGACCTGTTTTCCTCCCTTCCCATAGCATTTTAGGATTGCAGATCTCTTAATCTAATCGTCATTAACAATTTCCACACTCCAGACAGCTCGCATTGACTACTTCCTTTACCACTTCCTACGTCACGGACCTGTTTTGCTCCCTTCCTATAGCATCATAGGATTGCAGATACCTTAGTCTAATCGTCACAAACAGTTCCCACAGTCCGGACTGCTTGCCTTTACTACTTCCTTCACCACTTCGTACGTCACGGACCTGTTTCCCTCCCTTCCTATAGCATTTTAGGATTGCAGATCCCTTAATCTAATTGTCATTAACAGTTCCCACACTCCGGACTGCTCGCCTTTACTACTTCCTTCACCACCCCATACGTCACGCACCTTTTTCCCTCCCTTTCCATAGCATTTTAGAATTGCAGATACCTTAATCTAATCGTCATAAACAATTTCCACACTCCGGACAGCTCGCATTGACTACTTCCTTTACCACTTCCTACGTCACGGGCCTGTTTCCCTCCCTTCCCATACCATCATAGGATTGCTAATACCTTAATATAATGGTCATAAACAGATCCCATACCCCGAACAGCTCGCCTTTACTACTTACTTCACCACTTCGTCGGCACTTCCTACGTCGCGGACCTGTTTCCATCCCTTCCAATAGCATTTTAGGATTGCAGATACCTTAACCTAATCGTCATAAACGGTTCCCACACTCCGGACAGCTCACCTTGACTACTTCCTTCACCACTTCCTACGCCGCGGACCTGTTTTCCTCCCTTCCCATAGAATTTTAGGAATGCAGATACCTTAATCTAATCGCCATAAACAGTTTTTCACACTCCAGACTTCTCACCTGTACTACTTCCTACACTACTTCCTATCCTACGTCACGGACCTCAAGCTAGTGTCGTCATTTGATTATATTTATGATCCATACCGTTTCTTTTCTAATATCTGTGGAATAATGCTATCAGCTATTTCTTTATTTACTACATTTAAAAGTCAACAGCTGATGATATGTTTTTGTTTATGTGTCAAATACTGCTTCCATAAGGATTACATTGAAACTTTGAGACCCAGTGGGGCGGATTCCTGAGAGACTTTTTTAACGCCATATAGATGTTAGCACTCACCGGTATGGTATTTATCACCATGCAAAATTTGAAAACGATTGATTCAGCCGTCTAGGAGGAGTTTGCGTATTACGAAATGCATAAGAGTCGACGTATAAGAGCTTCGCTCGCTTCGCTCGCTCCGCTCAATTAAAAATGTAAGGTACATATGTCACAATGTTCTTAAACACAAGTGGATATTTGAATATTTGAAATATTTTGCTATTATTACTATTTCCCTAAAACAAAGCAGCTCTACCGCTAAGTATTCACCACTTCAATCAAATTACACCCAATACAAACATCTTTATTGACATAAATCACTATAACTACTTGTTTGCTGACTACAGCGATGAGTGTGGGCCAGATTGCGCTTGTGTCAGCTGTTCAAGCTATGACCAACCACACAGTGGAGCCCCGTGGCAGTGTCTCACCCCCCGCCAAGCATCTCGGCAATGAGTGGACGGTGAACAACTACAGACTGAATCTTCAAAACTCCGGCTCATCTCCTGCAGACTATCAGGTCAGAAAAAGGTTAAATCAAATACTAGATGTTTTAATTTCAGTAAAGTGTGTAATTGGAACCTCAGCTTAACATATTTCAATGGCATTAGAAAATATTTTCTAATGCCTATATTTTGAATGGGATTGAGTAATTATTAAGTAGATGCCTAGACATTTTTACCATGAAGTAAATATTACATTGAGCATTATGGCGTTTTGAAGGGAACTAAGAAGAATTTTGACGCTTTATCAAGTTGATAGTTACATCAAGACTCTTTACAGGAAGGTTTCAATGTATTAGTAAATCTATTCAGGTAATTTTTTGGAACGTGGAGCCCCATGACAGAGCCACCTATAGTGCTATATCTAAAACATGGAGTATTCGCGTTGAGAGTTAAACAACAGTGATGCTTTTAATAGATGAGATCTTAAAAGTAAACTGTTACCGATGGTTATAGGTGGTCATCTCAGTAGTAGACCATCACAACCAGAGTGTATGGAACCCCACATTGCAGCAGACATACGCCATGACTCCAGTGGTATTGCATCTACAACATGCCATCTCTGGGTTCCTGCTAAAGTTCTGGTACTGGCACAATCCCACTGAACAGGTGAGCATTTCGATAACTTACAAATTATTACTGTTATTTTACCCTTTAAGTTTCAAGTTCAATTTAACAAATTTAAATCCGATTTGTTATATCAAAAATTAATAATGCTTTAATACTTTAAAAAATATCAACACACGTTAAACATATAACCAAACTTCCAATTACAACTATCTATTGTAATTCATGGGAGTTACCCTTACGGCAGAGCTTCGTGGAAGAAGCCCACCTAAAATAAAAAGATGAATACCTCGTGCGGAAAAGTACAAAAACACTTTTATATACTGAATTGTTTGTTTTTTTAAAACTCTTTAGAAACTCTAAAGAAAGTTTAGAGAGAAATTGGGAAATTTTATGTTTTGAGGGTCAAAAATGAGAAAAGTAGCTATTACCGTGCCACCTACGGTAATAGCTACTTCCCTATAGGGAAATTCGCTTCAAGTTAGTTAGTTATGATTTGAGCCATCAAAAAGCTACAAACCTTTCTCAGGATCAAACCAGTGACTAGCTAAACAATCACTAAAAACACTCAAATAACCAGTTAACAATTTGTTATTCTTTGAAGAAACCCAAATATATTAATCAAAATTGCTGTAAAATATATTTTAGTCTGTTTCTGTTATGATCTTAATTTACTTATGCCATTATTTTCCCCAGAGAAAAGACAAGAACGGTTACCTTGTGAACACCATAAGTGAGAGGGTGGTGTTGGTGACCTTCAATGCTACTGGTAGTGTCCACATCGTCAACGCCAGTCAAACAGAGATCATACAACTGTGCTCAAACAGCACATGTCAGCCACAGTTGGTGGATCAGATGGACTCACGTAAGTGACAGTACTAGCATGTTAAGTGTTATTGGTACCATTCAATGCTACTGGTAGTGTCCACATCGTCAACACCAGTCAAACAGAGATCATACAACTGTGCTCAAACAGCACATGTCAGCCACAGTTGGTGGATCAGATGGACTCACGTAAGTGACAGTACTAGCATGTTAAGTGTTATTGGTACCATTCAATGCTACTGGTAGTGTCCACATCGTCAACGCCAGTCAAACAGAGATCATACAACTGTGCTCAAACAGCATATGTCAGCCACAGTTGGTGGATCAGATGGACTCACGTAAGTGACAGTACTAGCATGTTAAGTGTTATTGGTACCATTCAATGCTACTGGTAGTGTCCACATCGTCAACGCCAGTCAAATAGAGATCATACAACTGTGCTCAAACAGCACATGTCAGCCACAGTTGGTGGATCAGATGGACTCACGTAAGTGACAGTACTAGCATGTTAAGTGTTATTGGTACCATTCAATGCTACTGGTAGTGTCCACATCGTCAACGCCAGTCAAACAGAGATCATACAACTGTGCTCAAACAGCACATGTCAGCCACAGTTGGTGGATCAGATGGACTCACGTAAGTGACAGTACTAGCATGTTAAGTGTTATTGGTACCATTCAATGCTACTGGTAGTGTCCACATCGTCAACGCCAGTCAAACAGAGATCATACAACTGTGCTCAAACAGCACATGTCAGCCACAGTTGGTGGATCAGATGGACTCACGTAAGTGACAGTACTAGCATGTTAAGTGTTATTGGTACCATTCAATGCTACTGGTAGTGTCCACATCGTCAACGCCAGTCAAACGGTGTTGTTATTTCATTTGTAGATTTTAAGGGAAACTATATTAATATTAATATAGTATTTACACTTACAAGGCAATGAATATAAATCAAAGTGGTAAAAAGAAGGGGTCTTTGGGTACCCAACCTAGACTTGAAAATTGGTTTATACAGGGTGCGGCAAAAAAAACTAATCCATTTTCTGCAGAGCACTGTTCAGCGACAGGTCGTCTGAGAGTGGTGGGAGTAGACTCATTGGAAAGCCTACACAATGCCATTTTTTGTAGTCATAGAGCAGTGGTCGCCTGAGCTACGTGCGGTTGTTTTGAAGTTGTTTTTAAAAAGTATTGAATTCATTCATTGCAACTCAGCGGCATTGGCAGTTTCATGCATTCTTTCAATTAAGGCGACATGGAGAAGTTCTGTTGTGTATCACAATAATGTGGTGGGTTACTAACTTTAGAACAACGGCTTCTGCGTTGAAAAGGAGGCTGAAAGGCCGTCCAAAGTCAGATCGGACGCCAGACAACTAACATTCGATAGAGTTCGTGCTGCTGTCCACGTAGGCCCGCCCGAAAACAAGTGGCTGCTTTGAACATGTCTGACTCAGTTACACAAATTTTGAGGTTAATTTTCATCCCTACAAATTAGACTAATAATTTGTTTAATTGTGTTATCCATACAGATAATCACGACGGAACCTCTCCATGTCGACCCAATTAATAAAAGCACGGAACTGCCACTGAATTGCAATGACTGATTTACTACTTCTTTTAAAAGACGATAACAACCGCACGTAGCTCATACAACCACTGCTCTATGATTACAAGAAATGGCATCCTATAGGCTATCCAACAAGCCTACTACCACCACCCTCAGACCGCCTGTCGCTGAACAGTGCGCTGAAGAAAATAGATAGTTTTTTGTGCCGCACCCTGTATTTCACTACTCCAAGGTTTAGCTGGGGAACATTAAAGCTCTTGTTCTTTCAGGGATTATTTCCACTAACAGCATTGGAATTTCCGATCATCTTCAGGGCCGAATGTTCTTAAATACATCATGGTATTTTACTTACATACTTTTTTGAAAAAAGTACCTAACCATTTTCAGACTTTGTTTAAGGCTCTTTGCCAAAAGTCCAAAAATAAGATTTTATACATATATTTTTTTTACCATGAACGCCTATTTTCTTTATTAACGTTTGAAAATAAAATTGTTAACAATCTTAGGCCACAATCGTAGCAGTGCAGCAAACAAAAGCTGGCCGTATGAGTACACAGTAAACACCAATGGGTACAGGAAAAAGTAAATTTGGCATTTGATTCTACCTAATTGGCTCTACAACACTTTTGCACAGTTTACACTGCCCACTAACAGTCGTAGATTCCTATGTCATTTAGCAATGATTTAGACAACTACTAACAAGATCATTAACATAAAAAGGATTTTGCAACTATAGTTGCTGATGGCCCTAGCAGGTTGTGCATGTGTAAGTACTATAATTATCTTTAGGTGCACGGTACTAAGGGTCATCTAGGGATGCCCTATGAAGTGACTTTGCCAACCTATGTTGGTCGACTGAATGACTAACCACTCTTGGTTTTTCAGTGCTTATAGTAGATCTGGACGAAGACGGATCACAAGAATTGATCTCCTACTTGGTAACTTACAAGGGAGACGACAAACCTGGCACTTGGCTTCAGTCCCGAGTTCGCCTCATCCGACTGGAGGCCGAACTTCCCAAACTGTACGAGGCCATTGAAGGCCACAAAGCACAACTTCTCGTCTCTAAATCTGTGAACCACCTGTAAACTAAGGCTTCACATTTCACTATGGATTTCTGTTGCATACCTGTTTAAAAGGCTGAATTTTTTGTTCCTGAGTATTTTTTATATCAATTACGATATATTGTGACTGTCTAATTATATATTTTCCTTAGATTTTATGTTAGGTTCTTAATTTTTTTTTTATTAGCTAACATCTACTTCTTTATCTCTGTTTCACGCATACCTAGTTTACAATGTAAGCTGTTGGTTGAATGTTTATACAACCCTCCTAATAATGTATAAGTTCAATTTGATATTGAGAAAAGTTAGTAGCTTTTTGTGTGGTTTGAAACTAGAAAACTGGACCCAGCTTTCTTTAATAATTGGACTTTTTCTTAAGATCCTGGCTAAAGCAAGAGCTCATAAATATTCGGTTGAAAAGCTAAGCAAGGCATCACATTTTGTTAGAAACAGTCAATGTTGTTGTCTATTAAAAAGCTTATTGATACCTTATGTGGTATTAATTAGTTACTTCCTTATCTTGAATGATTTGATTTGTGTTGTTAGTGTGATTATTATCTGACTAGCTGTAACCCGCGGGCTTTGCCCCATTTAACTTCTTAATTTTCAAGATTATCTCGTTCGCATGGCTCAATCACGTCCTGGTTGAAGTTTGTTCGCTACGCTCACTCACCCTTAGGTTAAAGCTCGTTCGCTACGCTCACTCACCTTTAGGTTGGAGCTCGTTCGCTGCGCTCACTTGCCTTCAGATTAGCTTGTTCGCTACGCTAACTCGCCTCCAGGTTGAAGTTCGTTCGCTACGCTCACTCACTTTTTGGTTGCAAATTAGCTGTTGTCATAAATGTAAAAGAAATAATAGTGCTGCACCCTGTTGGTAATCCTTGTAACTTTAATGCTATTGAACATCATAGAACAGAACCAACTTGTTTAATTGAAACAGCTGTTAAGATTCAATAATTCCATTTCTCATAAGGTTAACATGGGAAACTCCAGAGCCACTGGGGCAGAGCCCGAAAGGATTTTTGAAATAAGAATATGCCTATATGTTAATCGGGAATGTGAGCTATCATCATGCCAAATTTCAGCCCAATCCGACCAGTATTTTTCGCGTTCACTTGTCACAAACATACATCCATACATCCCAACTTTCTCATTTATAATATTAGTAGGATTAGTAGGATAATATTGTTTGTTGTTTATTTTTAAAGATACTTTTATTTTATTTTACCCTTTCTATACAGCCAAAACAATGTTCCTGTTAAAAAAACATACACTTTGGAATAAATATATTTTTCCTTTTTGGAAGTAGTATGTGTTTCTCAACCATGTTGTATGTCTTTGTAGAATTACCCTTGTTATATTATTATTTAGTTATAATTATAATTAAAATTTTTGTTACTATATTTAAGTTTAAAGTCTATTTGAATTGTTAAGTTTTGTCGCCTTTTACTATAATAAAAATGAGTTATACTTTTTGTTTGACCAATTTGATGACAGGCATATCAAATAGTGTCTACTGTCTATTACCAATACTGTAAAATCTTCTCACCAATTTTATGATGTTTTCGATTCCACTTACATTGCCCCGGCATATTAAATTTATTCAAAATAAATAATAATTTATTCTGGCATAAGTTGCACTAACTTATTACACACAAAAAAAACTGTTTAAATTTTTTAGAACTTCCTATTTAAGAAAAATCTTAATTGTCTTCACTTGACTAACCGACAGGCGAATCTTAAACTTCAAATATTGTTTGAAGAAGTAGGGCTCAAACACAGTTCCAACCAAAAACAGCTCCGTCTTATCCTAGATTGATCTTTCAAATGGCGACCTAAAAAATTATACGGTACAGTAGCTTTAGAAAGATCAAAGATGATCCGACTAAAGAAGTAACAAATTATACAAACTTTATTTTGTAGAAGACATGTTTACAATGTATTTGTACAGTAATTGCGTAGCTTACATTTATGATTATATATTTTTTTTAGGATTGTTAGCTGTGTTTTATAGGTTATTGTTACACATTTTTTGTTTGTTATAATTGTTCTGCTTTATTCCTTGCCTACACTTTAGGCGTTAAAAAAAGTTTTGTAATTTTTGGTTCCTTTAGTGTAATGTAGTGTATGTGTGTATGTGTGTTATAGTTGAAAATGTTAATAAATATTTGAAAGCACGGCAAATGTTAAATATACTTTCACCGATTACAAATTTAATTTTTATGTGTCTACTTACAGTTTTTTGCTCTCCACATAACTTCCTCCCCTAAGTGTAAGTTGGCGCAAAAACTTGGACTTACCCAAATTACCATCTGAACTGCTCAATGGACCTTAAATTTGTAATCTTTGATTTAGTTTTTCAAATACTTAAAACATACCGGTAACTGTATGACAAAAATTTACTGCATTTTCGGATTTAACGTAAAAAAACTGAGGTAGTATAAACAAACAGCATCAGCAATAGCAATCTGACACGTACTATCTCTTTCTCCCATTAGCTTGTCAACAACCCTTATCATTGCACATGGGTGAGAGTAACTTTGATAATTTAAGAGGAAAATCACAAAAGTTGTAATAACTTTATTTATAACGGTAATTTTTACAGTAATAGGGGTTGTACTGTTTCGTTTAGAGTTAAAAGGACTAACGAACTCAATTTCAATCAAAATTTGTACATTTTTTTATTTGACTTTTCTGTTATTTAATTTTTGTGGGGAGAATCACAAAAGTTGCCGTAAATTTTGAACCATATTTTTTATACCAATGGGAGTTGTACTATCTTGTTTAGAGACAAAAGGACAAATATATAGTAAATTTAGTTCAAAATCGTTAAGGCCATTTTTGAGCAAATGAGATGTTTCCATTATTTTATCGATTTTTATGAGAAAACCACCGTTAAAATCAAAATTTCAAAAAATAAAAAAATAACTTCTAGACTTAGATTAGTACACACCACACCAAATTTCAGCAAAAGCAGCTCTATACACAGACATCCCTTCGAAACCCACTTTTTTGGGTTCAGGGGACCCAAAACGGATATCCACAAAAAACTCATACTCAACAATTTTTGACAAAAACAATACTTTCTCCGTATACTATGGAATAAGGGGAGAAATTAAAAATTTAATTTGTAATCGGTGAAAGTATAATATACAACTTTTATCGTAAGCACATTCATTATGCTGACAAAAGTAATGTTCTAGGCTAACATATGCTTGTATTTATATTTTGTTTTATACTATTACTATCCAACCTTTATAAGCAGAATGATATAATATTTTTGGAGTTGGCTTTTTATTGTACTAGCATCATTACTTTTCATATTATCTAGTATACAAGAGTTGACACTAATTAGCAGACGTCTTTTACCTTGCTTGCTGAAATAAAATGTATGATGCTTGCTAACACATAAAGTGGAAACTTGGGCTTCACGTCTATACTAAAAAATTTAGTTTTTATCTGCCGTTTCTATATTTGCATTATGTCTTGTGGCGATTTATGTTGTCAAAATACATCTTTGAGCCAATAAGAGAAAAAGCCTATGGATATTTTTAATTATTTAGAAAAACTTTCTTTTTTTGTGTACGGCAATTTAAACATTTTGCCTCGACAAACTAAACAGTAGAAGATATTTAGGATTTAAATATAAAATTATTTACACTTAAAGCTATCTTAAGTTTGTCCTACTAGATAAGTCATAAGGAGATTAAAATTTGTGAATTTTATGTGAAACGGTCCAATACGAGACTAGTAACTCGCTGAAACTTAAAAGACTTGACTATTAGTCTCTTTAATGAATAAGTAATTTTTCAAACGTTTGTAGAATGAGTTTTACAATCTCAGTGAAAAGTAGTGTCTAGAATTATATTGTATTAAATATTATATTACTAAAAGTATTTTTAGGATAAATCTAGAATTTTTAACCCAAGTGTTAGGGTTACCAAAAATACATTGTATATGACCATCAGGGCTTGTTACATTAGAATGAGGTACAGTAGCTGTTTACAACCTAATTGAAAAAAAAATTTTGTTGTATTTCGGTTCAATTTTTTACTTGTTTCTTTGTAGTTGGTGGGTATTACCATTGTTTAGTCTGCCAACAAGGAAAGCAGCAACTTTCAAGCGGTAAAGGGCAAAAGTACTAATAAGTACCAGCCAAAGCCGCCCATTGTGAACATATCCCCAATTGTTGTTTGTTGACTCATCTCTCTAAGTATTTAAGTTGATTTCAACATTTGAGGTGTCAAACATATTGTTCTTACGTTTAATTTTTACAAAAATGTTTTCATTGGAAATATTTTTAGGATATAAATCCTCGTTTTAAAGGCTAGTGCTGCAATATAGCTAATACTGATTTATGGATGTAGTATTTTATAGCTAGCAGTCTAGTAAGTCAAAAATAATTAGCTTATTTTGAAGGTACTAGTACAGTATCAGGGAGCAAGTAAAATCCATTATTTATATCACTTTTCTTTTTTTACACACTGAATACTGTAGTACCTCAAGTGTCTTTAGTTTATTTACTTTTTTAACATTGGTTGATTTTAAAGTTAATAACAAGCCTTGAGTCTGATAATATTGTAGTTAAACTATATAGACATAGTCTATACACTTCTTCAATCAAGACTCTCTATTATCTTGATATATTTTGTATCATGTAGTATTACTTTTCTAGTCATATTTACTTTATTATACAATTGAATAAAACACCTCTTTCTATCCACAATATGGCTCATTTACTGTTTCCTAATCCTGTTTTTTAACTAAATTAAGTTAAGCAATTCTGGTAGATCGCGACGATATACAATTTTATAACGCTTACCAAGTGCTTTCTCAAGTGAAATATAAATAAAAAATTTAATGTAAATACACTTAGACCAAGTGTGTTATAAGAGCAGAATGAGAGGAAACATTTTTAAAGAGTTAAAAATGTCGGGATTTGAAACGGCCATTGCTTGGGGACTATTCAAGATAATTAAATGATTTAAATGTCAAATTGAAGGGAAAAGAACAAAGTTTTTTCTCATACTTTGCTACAATTTGGAATAATTTAATAAAGTTCTGATTTTCATCAATCTTATATGAGAGTAAAACTGGTTAAGTCTATACGCTTAGGCGGATCGGCGGGATTATCTGATGTCAACTGAATCTTTTTAGGCACAAAGACTCTTCACAGATAACATCATAAAGTGTTCATTTAGGAATGTTTAACTTCATCGGGCAATCAATTTTTTAGGGCTTCTGATGCAAAATTGTCGGATTTGTTCCACTATGTCATCGCTTGTTTTTAGCTGGCCAGGTGAATGTCTTTTCAAAACACTATGGTGCCACGAAACTCATTAAACCAGCATCAAATTTCTTTATCATCAAGTAGATTTAAATTTAGTTTAATATAGCAATCGATATAAACTCTGTGAACCACAGATTAATCGGTGCCTTCTGTTGTGCGGTAAACATTGCACTGGCAACTGGCGTCATCAGGCGTGTGAGTCGCAATAGCGGCCTACCACCCCGCACCTGATTTGCGCATGCCAAGGCCAAAGTCTCCTCCCTTGCTACACGGGAAACAAAACTTAGTTATTTTAGCTTCAATTTGACGTACCGTATAAAACGTTTAGTTACCTTGAATAGTATCCAAGCAATTACCATTTTAAATCCCGGCATTCTGTTATAAACACCCTGTATGTGTGTCTGTTCTGTTCACATAATTCAGTTGAAAAGTTCACAAGACCAAAGTCTTGTCATTAGATAGCTCATTTTGAAGGTGTAAGGTACCTATGTCTAACTACTAACATTTTCAACAAGACATTAGATTACCATGTTCAAGTTGAATCCAGTTTAAAAAAAAAAAAAACTAACCTACCTGTAGTTAAATTTATCCAGAGCTAGCCGTCGTCACTTGGAAGGGGTGCGACCGCACTGGGGGAAAAATTGTAAAAAGTGTGTATTGGTTTTTGGTGTTTTGGTTTTATGTTTATTTGGGTGGAGTGCGAAGAGACCAAAATAAATGTTCAATATATCAAGGGAGGATTTTGTTGAAACAATGTTCATTATATTGAGGTAAGATTTTGCTCAAATTTAAGTCGAGGTTCACAAACAGTAATGGACAATATACGTTGAGGGTTGACCTCGTTACAACACAAGTAGCATTAGCATAGCAGCATTATACAGCACTGTACTGTAATTTTAGATATCAAAGAAAACTCCAATTTTTTTATACATAGCATAACTTTATTGTTAAGTGTACGTACTTTACAGTATTCATAAAATCACAACTGGTACAGTGCACTACAGAAGTAAAGCACCTTAAAACAATAAACGCAGTCACAGTATAATAGTATTTCATCTCTAAATCAGCTGATTTTACTCCTGTGTGCTGTGGCCACTGTTACAAGCCTGTCTTGTTCTAAAGCATTTGAATATAACGTTGGAATAAAAATAATATGGTATAAATTTGTATAAGGTATATTTATTCATGGAATTTGTATGCCAATCGTTTACAATAATAAATCTGTAACAAGACAATTTGTCTCATCAATCACCTAAAATTTTATCGATTCTTTCAATAGCCATTGTGATTTCATTCTCTTCAGGAAGCTTCAATTTTACAAAATCTGTGTCACACAGAATTTTAGCAAGAATATTTTTTGCTTGGAATATATCTAATTTCATATGATAATAGTCCAGTGTAAAACCATTGAAGAGTGTTAATTGCTCATTATTTTCTAAGTGTTGAACTCGTATGTTGACTATGTATAGTAAAAACTGACAAAATTGTTTTAAATCAAGTCCATAGGAAGCGTTCAGCATCACTTGACAATGTTGCTCCCACCCTTCCATATCATGACAGTCGGAAATTTCTTTCTTTACAGCGTCTAAGTTCGCTCGTAGGGAAGCCCACATTTTGTCAATATTACATCCGTTGACCCAGTTGTGGTTAATCGAAATTGTGTCTTCCTGGAAAAAGGTAATAATTAAGTCCTACAAGCAGTTAAGTTAGATATCAATCCAATGGATGCATACACAAAATATATCGCAAAAAGTGTAGTATGGGGTTTAGTGAAATCTTCAAAGTGTGGTAAAATCTTAACAACTCAGCAATCCAGATATCCCTTGGTTTAATATCCTTTCATTTCAGGTGAAGGCATTAACTTTTGGATTTTGAAGTAGACTAGACATTCTATCTAGATATGGATCACATGTCGCCAATTTTTTTATCCAAAAAGAATATAGATCTATTTGACTTGGTTCAACACCATCCCTTCAAATTCATATACATATGTCTGTTAGCATAATAACTTGAGTAAAAATCATCCCATTTTGATGAAGTTTGGTACAAACGTAATTTGTAGGTTATAAGCCTACTCAAATGAATTCACAAACCACCATGATCAGGCTACTGCATTGGGACAGGGCTTTATGAAGTTAAAATGAGTTTTTCCCATTTTGGATCCCCCAAATATAAAATTTTGCAATTTCTTTCCAAACCATTGTTAAAGGTAAAAAAATCTAATAGTTACCATAACAGTGTGTTAGTATCCACCAAAAACTTGTTTAAAAGTATTTTGGGACTTTTGTGTTCATGACATGAAGTAAAACTGATAAAACTAGACATAATCAAATCACTGAATCTAAAGAGGTTAATGCTACCAACTCACCATATTCCACACCTGATGATGCCATCCAGATGGGACAAAAATTGCATCGCCTGCTTCTTGTATAATTTCATATTTGCGAGATAACTTATGATAATCTTTGTATTTTGACGAATCTTGCAATGAAGGAGAATCAATATCATATACTAAACTTGCAAAGTTATCCATTAGGCATTTTTCTTGGCCGGGTGGAAAAAGAACCCAACGCTTCTTACCACAAATGTTCACAGACCAACTGAAGGACGAAAATACATCTGCGTGAAATGGTGTCCTGGAAGAAATTAACCAAAGTCAAAATTAATATTATTAATCAGACGGTTTCTTTTAAGGTAAAGGGCTACTTAATAATCCTTGAACAAGGATACTGAAGTAGACATTCTATTTATAGCCAATTTTTTCTCAAAGGAACATGAAACTTTCATAGTAGTGTGTCACTACTGAAGTTATTTTCTTTAGGTTTTTGATACTTAATATAGCGTTATCATGGTTTAAAATCTGTTTGCATACATTTTTATTTGGTTCACTATTCAGTTGATGTAGTAGGTAAAATCTGTCAACAGTTACTGTAGTTGAATATTTTTCGTGCGGTTAGTGCAGTATAATCATCGTGTTTTTTCGTCAAGTGTTGTTTATTGTGTTGTACACTCTTGTTCAGTGAAAAAATGAGTGTGTCAAAAAGCCAACGTAATGTGGTGACAGAGGAACAAAAATTGAACACGATCGGACGAATTGATAAAGATTAATCTGAGACCAAAATATGTCATGAATTAAACGTGGGGAAAAGCATGGTTAGTGACTGGCGTCGTAATCAAAAACATTGATAGACTCTAGAACTCAAATCGAGACTGAAAAGGATTTATCTGAACTGGGTTACTTGCGAAAACTTTCAAATGAGATGGTTGATGATGCTTTGTGGCTATGGTTCTTAGAAAAGAGAAGGAGGGGCATTCCTATTTCAGGACTATATTTTAAAAGAGAATTGTATTTTATCGTGTTCACTGTCAGTTTATTGGACCGTGTTTTGGAGTTGAGTAGTGCGGTTAAGTAATTATTGAGTGATTGTTAAGCCGTGGATTAAAAAAGTGTTAGACATAGATTAATATCATGGCAACCGCCTGTAAAAAGAGCAAACCATCCACTGTGAAGCGAGGGAAATTGTAAGACCAACAGGCGCCATGTGTAGGTATTACACATCTACTGGGAGGAGAAGTAATATAGACAACATTTTTAGGGCGACTAGTAGCAGATCGCCAGGCTGTGGTGGGGGCCCCTCCTGGCTGCAGAGGGGCCATGCGCAAACAAGTCATTTGCTTACTACAGTAGAACCTCGGTTAACCGAGCCTCGCTTAACCGAGACTCCGGGTTAACCGAGGCCGTCCTCGGACGATTTTTTTTATTTAAAAAGCAAAAGAAACACGCACAAACTACGTACAGTAATGAGCGTTTGGGTGCTCCTTTTATCGCAATACGCACGCTAGCCTGCAATGCGTTAAAACTACTGTACAGTAAAATGTTGGCAACTGTTGTGTTTCCTCGGCCAAATATTTGCGTAGCTTAGCGCTTATCTTTGCCGAATGCATACGGCACTGTCACCCGACACCGCTCGCCAGAGCAGCTGCAGGTGTTGTAACCCGACACCGCTCGCCGCCGGACCAATGCGAACTGTTTCAATGCCGAGACGCGACTGAGCCACTCGCTCTCCCCACCACCCCGATTCGACTCCGTAGCTTATTGCGCATCTAGTGGGCTGTCCTGGTGTACAGCTTCAGCTCGGATGTGTTCGTGCATCATCGGTCTGCCCGAAGACGCCATTTCGTCTCAGTGGCAGTCCTTTGTTTACTTTTACAAGTCAAGTGTCTATCACTGTTTTTTTATTGTGTGTTTAAGTGCAGTTACAGTAGGTGTAAATGAGTGCTAAACGCAAACGTGTCGTTGTGTCCTTAGAGACTAAACTAAATGCGATTCGTCGTCTGGACAATGGTGAGTCAATAAGAACAGTCGCTAAAGACTTGGGTGTTGGTGAGGTTACCGTCGGAGATTGGAGGAGGAAGAGGGCTGAGTTAGAAAAATGGGGTGCTCAGAGCTTAAATTCCAATTGCAATTCAGAGAGAAAAACGTTTAAAAAGTGTGAGTATGAAAAAACTTCCGAGGCTTTATTCTTATGGTTTTCGGAAATGAGAGCAAGGGGAAGTCCAATAAGTGGGCCTATTTTGCAGGCAAAAGCGCTAGATTTCCATAAATCTTTTGGCGATGGTGATGAACCTTTTACCGCTAGTTCCGGGTGGTTAATGCGATGGAAGAACCGTTATGGAGTGCGGCAACTTAATATATCTGGGGAAAAACTTTCAGGTAATGAAACTGATGTGACAGTTTTTGAAGAAAAAATAAGAAAATTGATTTTGAGAGAGGGTCTTACATCCGATCAAATATTCAACTGTGATGAGACAGGCCTTAACTTCAGAATTTTGCCCTCAAAAACTTTAGCCAGTCAGCAGGAAACATCAGCTCCTGGGTATAAGAAATCTAAAGATCGAGTTACAGTTTTAGGATGTGCCAATGCTGCAGGAAGTTTGAAACCCAAACCAGTTGTAATAGGCAAGTATAAAAAGCCACGTGCTTTTAAAAATACTAATGTGGACACATTTCCCAGCACATACACAAACCAGAAAAACGCATGGATGGACTCGCGGATTTTCAAACAATGGTTTTTTGAGGAATTCGTTCCAGTCGTTGAAGCTTTCTTGGAGAACAAAAAACTCCCTCGCAAGGCCCTTCTTATTCTTGACAACGCTTCGTCCCATCCAGATGCTGATGAGCTAGTCAGCGATGGCATTAGAGCCTTATTTTTGCCTCCAAACGTTACTGCCCTCATCCAGCCTCTAGACCAGGGAGTTCTAGAAACTTTTAAGCGAAACTACAAAAAGAGGCTGCTTAGAAATCTACTGGAGAAGCTAGAGGACGGGCTGGGTGTCACTGATGCTCTCAAGTTAATCACAATGAAAGATGTTGTCTACTGGGTGTCAGAAGCTTGGGATAACGTTAGGGAGGACACTATAAGAAGGTCATGGCGCAAACTTTTCGGAATTGAAAAGGCAAGCCGCCAAGAGACAGCTGCTCCTGAAAACCAGCCAAGAGCATGTCCTCCTGAAAATGAAGAGCTTGTGAATCTTTGTAACCACCTTCCAGTGGCTGAGCCCATCAGTGCAGAGGACATCAGTGAATGGATCAATGGAGATGAGGATCAGGCCCTAACTGATGACGTGATTATCCAGATGCTCAACCAACCAGAAGATGATGACAAGTAAGTTTTTTGATTTTTTATCTATGCAAAATTTTAACATAAAAACTTAATCCAACATCAATTTTTTAACACAACTATATTTGTTACACTTTAGTTAAATGTTGCCCATTCATCAATCCAAAACTAATTTCATACCAATTCCAACTGCTGCCTTTTGATTGCGTTACGGTTACGTAAAACAAAAGTTTTTTTACAGCGATGAACCTGATGGGGCGACTGAGAAAATATCACATACAGAAGGTCTAAGAATGATCGAGGGAGCACTGGCATACATTGAACAACAAGAAACCGCAACAACAAACGATTTAGTTTGGCTGCGACGCTGGCGCAACAGGGCGGCTAGCCTAAGATCCTCTAATCTAAGTCAAAACAATAACTGATTTCTTTGGGAAAAAAGATTAGCTTACTTTGTTTATTTTTGTACAATGTACAGTAAATTAATTTTCATTTCTTTGATTTAATTTTGTAAACAGGAATACTGTACTGTAACTAAACTTCTGTACATTGTGTAGCCTATATCATACGTATTCAGTTGTGCAATAAATTGAGTGTTATATTAAAACAGTGTTTAGTATTGTGAGTGTTACCGTTTCCTCTCACGATTTATTGCGTACTAATAACATTTCTTGTACTAATAAACTAAACAACAGTTCAGTTAATAACTTTTGTTCATGTTTTAGTATATCTTGAGCTATTTTTAGCCCCGGTAACGATTTTTAGGTTACGTTCCGTGTTATCCGAGGTTCGCCGTATCCGAGGTACCCTCGGTCCCAATTACCTCGGTTAACCGAGGTTCTACTGTATAGGTAACTACTCACCAAGATCCTTTTGGGCCCATGTAAACAAATCTGTAATCATCGTGTACATCTTGTCTCTGCAAGAAATACTCGTTTAGCCAGTCGGATGCAAAAAAAGAAGGAACCTGGTATATTTTTTCATCAGGAAACTCTCTCATGAAATGCCAGTCCTACAAATGGATTGTGAATTAGTTCATTCCAAAATATAACAGAAATTTCAATGAACTTTTGTGCAAGAAGATTTAAACTAAGAAAATATCGTTCAATTGATAATATGGATAGTCAAACCTTAGCATGCTACGACTTTAATAAAAACACCTGCAAAAAATTAACAATTGTAAACGTACTTTTAAATAATAGCAAGGCAGTTCAGGAGAATAATTATTACAAACATAAGATTTCCAATATTCTAAAAAAGTATTCAATACTTGTTCTTCCTTCTTTTGAGAATTGTAATATTTGTCACTACAATCAGCAACTGGCACTTGTGCATCACCTAAAACAAAATAATGTGATCAATGTCACTGGCAATTGTACGGTGTTTACAGACCAGTAATTGACAAATAAAGAAGGTTAAATTAAGTTACCTGATTTTACCGTATATGGTCAAAGTTTCATCCTGACTGGATTAGCCTATGCGCTTTTTGGCAACATCAGGTCCTTCTTATGTAAGTGCCAAAATGTTGATAATCCAGTCAGAATGAATGAAGGACCATAATTATTTAACAACATGTAATTTAACCTTTTTGATAATCATATATAAATTACACTACTTACAAAGCCCATGAAGGAGTCATTCCACCATCCCACGATGTTATAGAGTTAAGATAGCACGAGTAGTTTATAAGCTACAGTATACTAAAAGTAAGAGTAGTTTCATAACTTACTGGAGTGAAAAATATTCAAAAAATCACAAAACATAAATGGAAATAAATCACTCCATTAAACAAATACAGCGTGAACTGGAACGAACGAAAACATGTTTCCATTGGTCCCCGCTTGGCAGCAGCACTATGCCACTATGCAGACCTAGATCCTAGATAGGCGTTATTAGGAACCTGGGCGATATTCGGGCCATATACCTTACACTGCTTACAAAGTCAATAAAGGAGTTAAAATCATTTTATCGATGATCTTAATCTGTATGAATTATCCTAGATTTTCCATATGTGATGAATAAGTGCAGGATGGATATGATGCCCTGTGTAGTTTGTTACTGCCTAGGACAAATTGATGTATTTTTTTCGAGTTCCGTTGAATCTAGAGATTAAATTTAAAATCAAAATGTTCTTTAACAGCTTGATCTACTTTAAATACACACTCCATGGATTAGATATACAGGATGTTGTTTTTTTTTAATGCAATCCAAATTACAAGCGCATGTAAGAAACTTTGTAACTACAAAACAAACTCGTATGTTGGTATCTCTGTTTTTTCTACTTCATTGCAAATCAGCTAGAATGCATTGTTGCATAGTTATCTATGAGGTTTTTAGTGTTATTGGGAATTTATTGAGTTTATGGTTAATACCTACTCTTAACTCAACATAGGTTTTTTCAAGCTCAGAATAGCCTACATAAATTAAATCATTGGTTCGAAGCCAAGATAGGTTTGAAATTCAGTTTCCATAAGTGATTCCTCCTAAACTTAGGCCTAAACTTACTTAAGAAATCAACTATTCCACAGTGAAGTAATATACAGAGGATACAATCTAATGGGACAACCGTGCGCTTTTAGCTCTGGTATGTTGGGGCGGAAATCTACTAGTATCGGGCAAGGAAGAGCCCGATCGGCGATGGCCACATAGCATTGTTGTTGCCACTACTTAGTAGTAAGTTAGTACTTTATGGTGATGGGGGAAAGGAGAGTGGAAGAGGACGTCGAATAGAATTTGCTCAAGACACCAGCGACTGGTGCTAGGCACCACTTAAGTGTACCAATGAATGTATCATCTGTATTCAAAAAATATTCATAATATTAAGTACCCTACTTCTCTGTGACTATTCATATAATTGTCAAATGTTAAGGATCTGTATAAAACCTTTTTAAGGTACTTTCCTGTTAAAAGGAACATTCATTTTTATCGATGAAATTTTTCGATATATCGATATTTTTGTTTTCCGTTACGATCTATATTCCTGACTGTTTTAATATCTTCAAACGCATTTAAATTACATATTGACAACCAGGGCCGGCCTAAGTAAAAAATTTCAAGTGTGCAAGACTCACATAGCAATCCACCAACGGGGATGGGATACCGCCAGGTCAAAGAAGGGCCGGGGGTCCGCGCCCGGAAAAATGTAGAAATTTAAGGTCTAAAAACACAGTTTTTTTGCACTTATGAGCCTCTTTTAGAACATAAAATCTTTGTCCCTCAATTTGATTTAATATTGATTAACTTGATAGGTTATATCATTTTTCAAAAAACTATATTATGATGTTAAGCTTCGTAGTCACTTTTCAATCTGAGTTTTACACTTATATTGCAAGTAATGTACTCTCAGAATAAATAGCAAATGCTGGAGCTGGATTCACTGTACGCCAGACTGATAAGTTAAGTTGCATATCTCATGGGTGAAATAATAACGTCTTTGAATAAAATGGGTAAAATCGAAATGAAATGAAAATTGTTTATTTTTTCAGGCAAAGTTAGGGCTACATGGCCCTTTCTTACACTTAACCTGACATTCAAAAATATAACAAAATAATATTAGGCTACATTGGGATAAGTTAACTTATTCTAATTTAACATAAAAATATTTAACAATTCAAGTACCTTCATTCCTCAGAAAAGAAGAAGAAAAAGCATACAAATTTAACAATTTAATCTATGCTTAATATTTTCTATTAGGCTATCTATTATCTTTTATCTATTTAATCTATGTATTTAATTTAGCAATTTAATGTGCTCTGAGACAGATATAAAATACATTAAAAGATATCCTAATAAAATTGTTCTTGGATTGCCCTTAATTTTTTTATAGGTACCGTATCTTTCTTCTAATTTAGGGGTCAGCTGCCCCCCCCCCTGTCCCTATCTGGGTACGCCCATGTCTTAAGACATATTTAAAAACAATTTTGCACAATATACAGATAAAAAACACAGATATTTATAGAACAGAATACATGCATAAGTGAAACAAAAGGCTATTAGGTCCTAATTATATTTGTTCTTTTATTTTTGTTGGCGACACACTACTTACCATATTTCTCAAGAATGTAGTGAAAATTTGGTTTGTTATCTTTAACCCAATAGTATCTACATCCCCACTCTGAGGAAACATTTTTAATAATGCATGGAATATTTAATTGCATGTGCTGTTTTAGGAAATTGTCATAGAATAGTTCTTCATGACTGTATATTTCTATAAAAGGTATTTTGTATGCTTCTTCATTTTTCGAGTTGTCATGAAAATAAGGAAATCCAAAATTCACTGAGAGGATGTTAAAACCAGAATTTGACTGCGAGTTTTCAGCATGAAACATTTTAATAGGCCTAGGCCTAAGATCAAAATGTATTTATTTATTGCTCTTGAAAATGTTTACATTGTGTAGCATAATACACAATAAATACACAAAAATAAATCAATAAACAGCAGTTAAATTGTAGGTTAGTCCATCGAAATGAAAACAAAGCTAGACATATTTGTTTTGACTAAACTATTATCACTGTATACAAGATTACAAGGTTCTTCATTGGGAATATTCAAAAATGATTGAGGGGCTTGGAGGTTAGGTTACTACAGTAACTGGGATCGAGAACTGAGCTGATCAAAGATCAAGAGCAATGAATACAAACAACACTCTTACACTAATGAATACAAAAAGGGTTTGTATTCATTGAAAAGAGATTCAAAAATCAAGATAAGAAAGAACAACAAACTAAGTTAACTAAACTAAATGAGGTTGGTTAAGGTTATGCAAAGCAAAGGCATCAGTATCAGTTCACAACAGAATCTTCGATCTTTAGCTAAACAGAACAGCAGATTGAACAGAAGTTTACGTTTAGGTTTACATTTTTTTGTCTGCATTGCACAAACAGCTGTTTTGGCTGGAAGGCTGGCGGCTGGCTGCAGACTAACATGAAATTGTTTTGAACTTTATTGCAATTAATATTGACAATGTTTGATCTTTTATCAACATCATAGATTACATATACATGGGAGCTTATTTAGTACTAGCAGAGTACCCGTCCTTCGTACGGGGTTGGAATATAAGTATAACATGCTTATTGCAGTTATACTCAAGCTTTGCGTTTGCAATAAGGGAGGACACAGTTTTATAAAAAAAACTTTTTTAAATTTACAGTATTCTATAGTATTACACATCTACAATAGCCATAATGTTCTACCACTTCACCCAAACAATAGAGAAAAATAAATTATCAACAATTCGCAAAATATCACAAATTATTAATGAAATGAAAAACATAAACATAACTGTAAACAATCCTACTTTGACAGTTCTCTTTTCGAATCACAGTTTTTTGTTGCTGCTTAGTTCAAATTAGCTGTTTTCATAAATGCAAAAAATATAGTGCTGCACCCTGTTGGTAAATCTTATAACTTTTTAATGCTTTTCCATATCATAGAACCAACTTTTTTAGTTGAAACAGCTGACTAAATTCTTTAATTCCCTTTAAATATGAATACTCATAAGGCTAACATGGGGAATTACAGAGCCACTGGGGCGGAGCCCGAAAGGATTTTTGAGATAAGAATATGCCTATATGTTAATCGGGAATGTAAGCTATCATCATGCCAAATTTCAGCCCAATCCGTTCAGTGGTTAATGCGTGATTGAACTTCAAACAAACAAACAAACAAACAAACAAACAAACACACAAACTTTCACATTAAAATATTAGTAAGATTCTACTTGCTGTGTGCCCGTTCTACGCACGGGGATAGTGTAGTCAATTGAAGTCACTGGTTAAAATACTACCTCAACCTCACCATTGAACACTTTATTCTGGTTGACATTTTCAATTTTCATTAACAAAGGTGCTCTTGTTTTTTTTTCGTGAAACACCGAGTAATAAAGACATTTATGCGTCACCAATTAATACACACACAAATACAGAATTTAGTTAAGTAAGGAATTGTCTACAGTTTAACCATAGCAAAGTACATATAATTTTTGAAAGCTACTGGCAACAATGATTTAAAGTGCCTCAGCCGCAGCAAAGAGCAAACCTCAAACCTCCCGACTAAGCGAATTTCCATTTTTCTGGATTGATTTCCAATTAAATATATTTAAATAGCATTATAAGTTAACGAGTATCTTTTGCTGCTACTGAACTAATAAAGTATATTTTTCGTAACATGTTAATAGCTTAAATAAATTTGCCAAATTTGATCAAAATGATATATCCATAAACAAGCAAACTACAAAATTGTAATATTCTCCATAAGAATAACATGGGAATTTTAAATTTACATTTTTTTGAATTTGCTCCATTACCAACCGTACAAAAACACTTTGATGTACTAAATTATTTGTTTTTTAAGCTCTTTTAAATAGTCTAGAGAGAAATTCGGAAATTTTGTGTTTTGAGGGTCAAAAATGGGAAAAACCTTGTTTTACTTTTACCCCATAAATAAACCCCCCGTAAAACCCCGTTCCCATGGTCCGATCATGCTGGTTCGCGAACTCATTCAAGTTTAGATTAGTTTACACCTTTAAACTAAATTTCATCATTCATTTTTTATATATAAATAATGTAAATATATAAAAAATTTAAAGCCGGGTTTTCCTGGACGTGGAAGAGGAGCGCGGATAGTGGAAAAGAGATTAACATGGTGTTCCGCTCCGCTTCTAGGAAACAGTAACATTAAATTGCCTAAGACAAGTAGTGGAGTCCACTCTCCGCGTTCCTCTCTCCGCTTCCGCGCCTATGAAAACCCAGCTTAACGAATGGTGTTTTTGGCACGGCCACCTTTAGATCCAGGCCACAGCCTTCGAAGTGGCAACGTCGCAAGTGGTGTTATAGCCATGGCCGCCTTTAACTACAGGCCGCGGCCTTTGAAGTGGCAACGTCGCAAGTGGTGTTGTAACAGCTGTTTCGTTTGGAAGCAGCTAATGGTATTTTGTGTATTTACGAAAGATTGGTTACTTGACTATGACAATATTGACTCCGCTTTTAATGTACAGATATAGATTTTTAATTCGTATTGTTCCCGTTTTCAATTCTGTATGTTTTATTTTCAATATGTTTTTATTTTTATAAATTTAAATCAACAAACTGCGAATTAATGAGCTGATGTTACCTATCTGCCATGTAATCTTATGGGACGTCTGTCACTAAACAGCACCACTTGCGACGTTGCCAATTCTACCAGGCCGCGGCCTGGTTGTAACAGCTATTTTGTTTGGAAGCAGCTAATGGTATTTGTGTATTTACGAAAGATTGGTTACCGGTACTGGACTATGACAATATTGAATCCGCTTAAAAATGTACAGATATAGATTTTTAGTTCATATTATTTCGGGTTTCAATTTTGTATGTTTTATTTTCAATATTTTAATAAATTTAAATCAATAAAGTGCGAATTAATGTGCTGATGTCACCTGTCTGCCATAGTGCCAGTGCCATGTAATCTTATGGGACGTGTCACTATAACAACACCACATTGCGACGTTGCCAATTCTACCAGGCCACGGCCTGTAGTAAAAAGTTGCCGTGTTTTTTGGCCTCTGGGGACATCAAAATGAAAAAGTAAATTGGTCCCTGGACCTACGGTAATAGAACCTTCCTACAGGGAAATTCGCTAAAATTTAAGTTTCCCAAACTTAAATTTAAAATTTAAGCCTTAAACGATACTGATTCAAGTATTTTCCCAGTTATCAAAACTCAAGAACAATTTTATACTTAAAGAATCTCCGGTTCCTGACCTGGATGATGCCTATAGTTATTTAATTTCATTTACGGTTACACATTATTGCACTTGCGATTAATTAATATCCGTGATGTTAAGGAAAAACTTTTTTACTACTTGGTTTGGATTTTCTTTAAAAACACGATCGAAAATGGTTGCGGAATTTGTAAACAACATAATGTAAACAGATCAGTGACAGCTATAAAAAATAACCTCTTTGATCCAAAACAGCTGTTCGTTTTTCCGTTATTTCATAGACGACGTAGGCCTACTATGTGAAAAACATTATAATAATGATTATTAGGGAAACTGGGAAAAAAACGCACAACATTGGGTTTTTGAACGTCCGTCATTTTATTTACCATACCAAGTTAGTAGTGAAGTCATGTTTTAATGGCTAAAGACACTGACTCGCCAATCCCGTGAATACATTAAAATTATTTGAATCTTTTTTCTTAGGTACTCTAGGTTTTCAGAAGGCCGCGTAAAATGCCTTCTGGGCCGTGACAGACAGAAATTGAGATAAGACCTGTTTCGGCTTCTTTAATGTTTAGAACCGATTCGATGTCTTTTTCCGATTTAAAAGTTCTAATTCCCACTTGTAAGATAATATAGCTAATTTTAAACATATACCACATCAAGATATCATTATTTTATATCAAGATACTAGTTAAACCATGTCTTTGAAAAGTATTTGAGTTATCAATGGTCAAATGCAATTATTATATCCAATAATTGTTACTTGTATATTATTTGAATAATTATGTTTAGTCAATGTCAAATTAAAATTAATTGACCACCTGTTAGCTGAGTGGCTGGATACATAATAGTGCTCATCTGCTACTTAACACCATAAGACTTCTGGTTCAACCCTATTAGCATGCCTATTATGAGGCTCTCTATAGTGAATGCTCAGATTCCACTCTCCTTATAGCGTGCGAGCAAGCCTCGTTATCATATGGGGCTTATTAAGGGCCGGTGCACACTATCCGACCACGATCACGACCAAACGCCCGACCGGTCACCATGCGACTAGAGCACGACCCGACCGAGGCAACGAATGTTTTACCAACTTCAGTGTCAAGATGTATGTTGAAGAAGTAGCTTCTGTATCGTAGGTACGTTAAGCGGAAGAAGAAACTATACTGGGTACATCCAATGTTAACTGAGACTTTTCCTTCTGAGTAGCGTCATCACGTTCACCAAATATCAGCATGATCTCCTCCCAAGCTACCTTCTTCATCCCTCTGTTGGCATAATCTACAGCTTTTAGCTAATCTATAGCTTTTTTTGTGTTCATAAACAGGGCCTGCGACATTTTACAAAAGAAGTCACTTTACAAACCACACAAGAAACAAGTGCTCACCGTTTGGTTGATCTAGGAATACTGGGGGTTGAGTGGTGTACTGGTCGGGTCGGAGACAAGTCGGGGGTAGTGTGCGTCGTCCCATTACATCACGGGAAGTAAATAAAAGAAACGTCTTATAACACTTAAAACATATACATCACAGAAACGTCATTATCGTCTTGTGCGATTGCGGTGTTCCAATCACCCATCTTCTCGGTCATGTCAGGTATTGGTATCGGAAGTGACTTTTGAGGATCGATTCTCGACACATTCATTATCATTAAATAGCGATGAATAATCTGCTAACTATCTCTATTCTGATCTCATCTCTTTTTTTTTGACTACGGAAAACTACAGTATCTTACACAGTCTTGGAAACCAATGCAGCACATCTACCTATTTCTTGTCTAGCAAACCACACAGCCTTAGGGAATTAAGAATTACTCACAGAAACCAGGTTAATATAACTTTAATTAATATCTGTGATAAAATTTTATATTTCCTGTGACAAATATTGCACAATACAGACAAAACTGGTGGTGAACCAGTTACTTTTGTACATCTTAACCAATAACACTTTATTTACAATAACACTCTTTTATACAATAACATATATATATAGTTTTTATAATATTTACAAGAATACTTTCGAGTCAATAGAGAACTTTAAATGAGATCATCTTAAATGATGTTAACAAATTACAACTATTTTAAAATTTATTTAAGAATAACTTATATCCTTAATCCACCACATTAAAGCCGAAAACAAGTAAAAAAAAAACATGCAGCAATTCTACACCTTTCCTTGTAGATTATACCTATTTTATGCATCATAAGCGTTTTTAAAGATTTTAAAAGCAAAACTCACAAAATTATACAAGTAGGTAAGATATTTTCTTTATCTTAAATTTAACACGTGAAATAAATATGCAGTAATAATTAGTGATGGGCGGATCCAAGAAAATGTCGGTACCAGATCCATATATGTTTTTTCTTCTTTTTTTCAAGGACGGGTATTTTAAATAACTCATATGGCTAGGTAATGTGATAGTATACGAGGTGTGGCTAGAAAAAAACCAGACTAGTCCCGGTGCAACAATAAAACGAATGCAATAAGGCTGAAAGTTGCGTGGCCTGTCACGTGACTCTCGCCCCGCCTACTGCTCAAGTTTCATCTGCCTTCTTTACTCAGTCTGCCCGTGGCGTCTGTTCTAAGTAGTTGTCGTTTTGTCTGTGCGTCGGAAAAATGTTGAGTGTACAAAAAGAACAGCGTGTAAACATCAAATTTCTTTTCAAACTTGGAAAATCTGCAAGTGAAACGTTTGTAATGTTACAACAAGTGTACGGCGATGATTTTTTATCGCGAACACAAGTGTTTGAGTGGTTTAGGCGATTTAAAGATGGCCGCGAAGACACAAGTGACGACACTCGTACTGGCAGACCATTGTCAGCAAAAACTGATGCAAACATTGAAAAAATCTGTAAACTTGTTCGACAAGATCGCCGTTTAACAATCAGAGCAATGTCTGAGTTGACAGGAATTGACAAGGAAAGTGTTAGGCAGATTCTTCATGAAAGTTTCAACATGATCAAAGTGTGTTCCAAAATGGTTCCAAAGTGTCTCACAATTGAACAGAAAGAACGCCGAAGAATGATTTGTTCTGACATCCTAGAAAACATTGATAGTGATCCAACCTTCTTACAAAATTTTAATACTTGTGATGAATTGTGGTTTTTTACTTACGATCCCGAAACCAAACGCCAATCGATTTTTTGTACACTCAACATTTTTCCGACGCACAGCCAAAACGACAATTACTTAGAACATACGCCACGGGCAGACTGAGTAAAGAAGGCAGATGAAACTCGAGCAGTAGGATGGGCGAGAGTCACGTGACAGTCCACGCGACTTTCAGCCTTATTGCATTTGTTTTATTGTTGCACTGGGACTAGTCCGGTTTTTTTCTAGCCACACCTCGTATGTCAACGTCAACAACTCATATGGGTAAGGTAATGTCAAAGACTGTCTGTGTCCATATACAAGACCGTCTGTGTGTCCTCGAGGTACAGGACTATCTTTGGATACAGACTGTCTTGTATATGGACACAGTTAGTCTTGTACATGGATACAGATAGTCTTGTACATGGACTCTGATAATCTTGTACATGGACACAGATTGTCTTATATATGGACACAGATAGTCACTATTAATTTTATTTTAAAATACATCACTGTGACAAAACACCTGTTCTTATGTATGAATTGTACTTTATAAAGGGCGTTTTGTGTTAATAGAATTTAAAAAAAATTAATAAGATTTTTTTAGTTTTAAAATTAAGTTTTTTTTTTTAAATAAAAGTTAAAAAAAATTTTATTCGAAAAAAAATTTGGATCCAATAAAAGATCCGATTTTTTGTGGATCCGATCGGGCAATGGTTCTAGCTCAGATCCGGCGGATCTGGTAGTCCAATATCCCGATCCGACCATCACTTAGTAATAATTAAACATATTGGATGTATTTTTTTATAACTAAACAACTTGCATCCAACAAATATGGTAGGTAGGCAAATTATAATTTAACAGCAAAAACCCTAACATACAAGAACTATTATATTTACAGTTTTATTTGACCAAATTCAAGGATTGAAGAGCTCAAGTAGATTGTTGTGTTTTATTTGATTTTTAAAATAATTCTGCAAGGTTGAGTATCACCTAAGTATTTAATATTCAATCCCTTAAACAAAAATGAATCATAAAACTATTGATTTACAATGTGATCTTAGAAAGATACATAATTTTGATATGATTAAATTTTTTGGTTATCATATAATTAGTCAATGGCCTTTCTTCATTTCTCATTTATTGAAGAAAATATTCATATGGAAGAACTGCATTAATATTTTCCTGAACAAAGCTCAACAACAAACTAATGGTCTTTAAAACCATTTACTTACTAGTATTTTTGCAACACATTAATCACAAAGATCTCAGAAAATTGCAGCAATTGGATCATGGAGCTCTGCGCCCCAGTGAGAACAAAATGGCACGTAATCAGAATATTCTTATTTCAATATTAATGATGTATGATGTATTGCTATAAAATATTCTACATATCTAAACAGTCATATTATTATACTAATCCTCAGAAATACACCTCATGTGTGTTACTTGTCCAATAGTTATCATCCAAATATCCTTTCTTTTGTACTGTATTTTGTAATTAGCTAGAATACAAGCTGGCTTATAGGATATTTTATGAATCATTTGCTTACATTTTTTCCTTTTTGTAACTAGCATGGCAACCTATAAGACCAATGTTAAAAATATCAACATGTAAATTTATAAAAATCTATAACAAAAATTAACTTTTAAGAATAGACCCTAGCATAAATATTAATAACATAATATAATACATCCTCACTCAACAATAGGATTGACTTAATCCGAAACGGAAAAATAATAAATTTTTTTACCCATTACGTGCTGACGCTGTCATTTATCGGGGAAAGTCAAAACTACAAACACCGTCGTGTGATGACATTAATGCAGTTTATTGTAGACACAAAAAGTGATGACCCAGTACGTGCTTTCACCCATTGGGAAAAGCTGAAACTGCTAACACTGTCGTGTAACGACAGTTAGTTGTACTTTGTCGAAGTGTTCTGTAGCGACCGGGGCGAGATAGACTTGTTGTATAGAGTATTTAAGTAAACATTTAGCCATTTTTCTGGATAAATTATATCATTTTCGTCCCGGGGAAAAAAATTTTTATGTTAATAGTTTAATAAGAAATAAATGCATTTTCCAAATTTGATTCAAATCTCTTCATAAACAAGCAAACTACAACAGTTTACTTGTTGTAAACTGTTTAGTTGTTGTCGTTCCCATGGTACGATCATGCTGGTTCGCGAACTCATTCAAGTTTATCCCGCCTTACACCTTCAAACCAAATTTCATCAAAATCGGACAAAAATTACTCAAGTTATCGTGTTCACGGCCACATGCATATGTAAAAATTTGAACCAATGGCGTTTTTGGCCTCTGGGGACATCAAAATGGAAAAGTAGGTTGGTCCCGGGCCTAGGTCTTACCACGCCACCTACGGTAATAGCTACTTCCCCTATAGGGAAATTCGCTAAAATATAGATGAATTTGAGTGGATGGTGTTTTTGGCCTTTGGGGACCTCAAAACAGAAAAGTAAATTGGTCCCAGGTCCAGGTCTTACCATGAGACCTATGGGTAATAGCTTATTCCTTTAATTTCCTTATTCCTTTAATTAATTATTCCCTGAATTTCCTAATATGGGAAATTCGCTAAAATGTGATCACAACTTTTGTGAGCCTACGAAACTTGGTCAATGTATTTTCATCAAACATACACTGCAAAACCATATTCCCTTTATTTTACCACCTCTGTAAGCCTATATCCAAAGAAATTATTCTTGCACTTTTTTCAAGGTCTTCAAATTAGGTTCAAACTATCTGTTGAACGTAAACTATTCTTAACCATTCAGACCTTGAAAACCATTGAAGTGGTAAATAGAAAGTGACAAAATTAAAAGAGATTGCTCTTGAGCATTTACAGTACAAATTAAGGGATTGAATATGATCTTAATGTATACAATGAGGTTTACAAGACTCACTTGATGACTTATGCAGTGCAGACATTTTTTGTTAATGCTTCAAACTTACGTAAAACATAAACATGTTGTTTATTAAGGCCAAACAACATTAAAATATAGCAATAAACCCAGGGAGCGAGCTAGTTAAGTGGTGGAGCTTCGGCCGCCAAGGTCCTGGGTTAAAATCGCTTTAATCACCAATGGATTTTATCTAAATGGTAATGTTGCAACGCTCCATAGGCTTTACCAGATTTAATGATTGTGTAAAACAGTTCTGGGCTTGAGTGCTTGCTATAAACTCTGGGTAGTTTTATCATATTAAGCTTCATATCATGACAACTTAATGGGAAAAGAATGAAAGGAAAACCACTCAGCCTCTGACTCAATCTCCAGCTACAGGATGGTTTTAAAACCCTACTTTGATTTAAATGCATAACCAAACCTATGCTAGCCTAGAAGCCTAGACATTAGACAACCCTCTCAGTGACTGTGTGTCTCATGGCAAGTAGATTGCAGCTGAGTTGGTTCAGTTCTTAACATTTAGAGGAGGAGTGGGCATTCCTCTTCGAGGAGGCAGAACCTCAAATCCTGGTCCGGGGCTAATTTTATCAGCAGGTTTAGGTGGAGGCAACTGAAAGAGAAAAAAACTTATGAAAACCATTTGACTGCAACTTATGGACAATATTTTTTACTGATATATAACATTAAGGTTTACCAAAAAGAGAGCTGGGGTTAAGCTTAACTTAAATCCCTACTGACACCCGTATCATGGTATAACAATGATTGATACTAAAAGCAATTCACACACAATTTATACACTTTCCTGTAAAGTATCAATTATTATATCAAATGTGTAAAAACAAATCTTTATTCCTGTTTTTTTTCTAAGATTTTACTACATTTAGCACTTTTTTGGGACGGGAATCTTGGGATATCAAAGCAATTGCAAAATCTGTAACTAAAGTGTGCTCAATTGACAGTTACTATGACATCAAGAATATGGGATCAAATTATATTAACTAACGCCACCTTGATAAATGTTAACAATTTCACTGAGAATCCAAGGTAACAAAGATTAAAGAATCGACATTTTCTCGATACCCTAGAATCAAAGTTTAGGGACACCGGGATAACCCTATTTTTAAGGATTGACTGACAATATTCACTGATCATTCAAAAATGTTAAGGTTTTTACAGTTGAGTAGGTATTTTTTAGGGATGGTCAAGTCTCGAAATTTCGGGAAATTTTCGGGAAATTTTCAATCTCGTTACACGAGACAAGATTACTTTTTAGCCGAGATTTTTATCGAGACAAGAATTAAAAAAAAAAAAAAAAAAAAAAAAATTAAAAACGCCTGCAGAAAGACAATGCAATACCCGCAATACAGGAGCGTGTTGTTGTTGCGTTTCCTTTTGAAGGCGTTCTTATTTAATTAATTCTTTTAATGTAAATATTACTTTCATTATTTTAATAATATTACTTTAATAACATTTGAGAAGTTTTGTTAAGTGTAAGCAGTGTGAGGAATGTTTTATTACTATAAAAAAGTCAAAACAAGTAACTATTTTATAAAAATTAATATTGCTTTTATTTTATGATTTATTTTATTTTAGGATAAGTTGAACTCTATCCTAACTGATATCACCATGTTTCCTAATCGTAGGCATTTTTAATAAGTTAGGCGTGATTAATAAAAAAATGTTATGCTGATGTTATTTAATGAAAGATTGTAAATATTCTTGCCTATTATCATTATTTTAGTATTTAAACAGTCATCTAACAATGTTACAAAATCAGGTAAAAATTTCGAACGTGCATTTCCCGTTGTGTATGAGAAGAGAAATCTCGTCTCGATCTCGTCTCAAAATTTTATGAGAAATAAAAAATCTCGTCTCGTCTCGTCTCGAACTAAAAATCCAATCTCGTCCATCCCTAGTATTTTTGCATAACCTTTGAGTAGTTTGTACTTTTTTACTACTCTTTTGTATAGGAACAATAAAAAATTTATGGTTTCTTCTAAAAAGCTAATTTACGCTCTAATACACTTTGCCACATTCGTTTTTACTGCACTCATTCTACTTTATTCCACACGTTATACTTTGCCACACTACGGTTTTGCAACCTAAAAAAAGAATAATAAAACGGTAACAGCTGGCTGAAGTGCTTTTATGTGGAAAATAGGTTGTAAGCTACTCCCGGATCAGCAGTTGCACTGCTATTGATCCAGTTTATAACAAAATGACATACAACATTTACAGTTGCTTAGACTTTTTAACCTATAAATAGTTAGGACCTGTAATTTACAAAACGAAAATATTTTTTGTTAAGAAAATAACTACAAGGTTAATTAAGCTCTCCATTGTGTTCTTGTCACAGCCAAGAGAGCTTAGTTCTAATATTCCTTACTTTATCCACTACTATTCAAGTCGGCTTCCATCTCTATAGGACAATTAGTCTCGTCATAGTGTTTAAACGTCGTGAAAGATAATTGACACTCCTTCCACTTATGAATCACATTTTGTGAGCAGATTTCTGTGCTCACAAAATTGTCAAGCATAATAATGTCTATCATCAGTTGATGGTCCTGAATAGAGTAATAAAGTCATTGAATGTAAAAACACTTTTACAAGGGGTGGTGGGAGTCCAAAAATGGTCTTAAACGTTTGCAAGGTGTTTTTCATGGTGCAGGCCGAGACTGTTGTCATTTGTTTGTCTCGTTTGATAGGAGCAGTGACCAGAGTTAGTGGAAAGTTGCATTCTGATCACGGTGTGTCTAAATGAGAGAAAGTGACGAACTAATAGGGGACGTCTCAACCAAGACTATCAAGGTCAGCCATGGGAGTTTGCAACAAACTGATCAGTAAGTAGAGTTTCCTCAAATTCAATCACTTAATGTGTGGGGAAAAGGTAGTTGAAATAAGAAAATTAATAAAGGAAATAAATCGAAGGACCAGCCTAAATTAGGCAAAGAAGTGAAACAATTCAAAATTGATATTGTTGGGATTTGTCAGCTAAATATTTTACATAAATAATGATAGAAAAAAGTAACAAGACAAGGTTTTTAAGTTTAATATACAATGTTGTTCATTTTCTGAAAATAAGTTTGTCAAAAAAAAAAAAAAAAAAAAAAAAAACTTAATATTGATGAAACTCACCAAGAATGTCAATCATTATTTTCATCATTGGTGGAACCGTCTTGATGGATTCATAGTTTCTTGAGGTATTTAAGTTTAAGTTCATTCATGTCTTGATGATTAAAATATCACTTTTAAAATGTCTTTCTTCCTTGTAGAATTTAACAATGATGTTCACAATATGGATTGTATAATGTAGTTCAAATTAAAATGAGTAATATTTGCTTAAATCACATGAAAATTGTATGTGAGTTATAAAATAAATTGAGAATAAAAAATGATATGTAGTGATTGTACTGAAGATAGAATGCAATGTTTTCTTTTTATAATAATCAAAATATGATGTAAATAAACATTAAATTAAATAACTTTCAGCTGTCAAGAAATTGGGATGGGAAAGAAAAATAGGAAATTGTATTCAGAACAAAGAAGAAATAAAATTATAATATATTGAAATCAATTTTGAATGAAAATATGGAAAAGTGATGAACTAGTACGCAACAACGCCGGACACCGTTGAACGTCTGGTTCAACCAAAGTTGGTGTCACTCATTGGCATTGGATAGACTTGGGACACTGGGCGAATGTATTCTCCGTCAGTGGTCTTGACTTTTACCACACGGACAATGTTGTCTTTCCCAGGAAGTAATTCACTGATACGGCCGGTTGGCCAATGGCATGGTAGAGTTGAGGTTTTCAGGAGAACTAGATCACCAATCTTGATGTTTGCAGTCGGTTTTGTCCACTTGTGACGTTGCTGGAGATGATGCAAATATTCTAGGCTCCATCGTTTCCATAGATGTTGTGAAAATTGTTGGACTTGTTGCCAACGCGAAAGTCGATTGGGTGACACATCGAGTAGACATGGTTCAGGGATGGAAACTAATGGTGCACCTGTCAAGAAATGTCCTGGAGTAAGTACATCTAGTTCTTGAGGATCAGTCGAGAGAGGTGTAAGAGGTCTTGAATTAAGAATTGCCTCAATCTGCGTTAATAATGTCATCATTTCAGGAAGTGTGAGGATGGTTTCATCAATAACTCTAACTAGGTGTCGTTTAACGCTTTGAACTGTTCTTTCCCATAGGCCACCGAAATTAGGGGCACAAGGAGGATTGAAATGAAACCTGATGTCTGATGGAGCAAAGTGGCTTTGTAATTTATCACGTGCATCTGAAGAAGCGATGGTGTGCTGTGTGATATGGTTTAATTCATTAGCAGCACCCTTGAAATTGGTGCCACAGTCACAGTAGATGTGAGAACAAATTCCTCGACGACTAATAAATCTAGTGAGCGCTGCGATGAATGCTTCTGTTGTCAAGTCAGTTACAAGCTCTAGATGCACTGCTTTAGTAGTCATACAGATGAACAAGCAGACATAGGTTTTGGTAATTTTAAGAAATCTCATGTTGGCTATTTTGGTATCAAATGGTCCCATGAAATCAGTTCCAGTATGCAAGAATGGTTTAGATGGGGTGACTCTGGGTTTTGGTAAAGACGCCATCAATGGAATGGTGTTTGTTGGTTTGTGTCGGAAACATGTGACACAGTTGTGGATCCGTTTTCGAATGATGTTTCGTGCGTTTAAGATCCATACACAACGAGATAAAATGGATTGGATGAATAAAGGACCGGCATGCAAGTAGGTAATGTGCCAGTAATCTATGTAAATATTTGTGATGTGGTGAGATTTAGGTAATAATATCAGATGTTTTGACTGGTATGGAAGTTCAGAATTCTGAAGACGCCCTCCGACACGAATAATGTCATTGTCATCCATGAACGGATGGAGTGGTTTCAGTTTGTTAGGACAGTGGTTAGCTTGAAGTTCCTGTTTTTCAGTGGCGAAGACTTCTGATTGGACTCTGTGAAAGATCTTTAATGTAGATGTGCGCAATTCGTCAGTTGTGATGAAACCTATGATACGATTCTGTTTATTCAAACAGTTGTGTTTGAATCGTAAAACAATTGCAATTATACGCACGAGTTTTGTCCACGATGAATAAAATTTCAGTGGTTGCCATTCAGTGACACCTGTAGTTACAAACACAGGCAACGGTGTTGGTTTTAATTCGGACGAAACTTCAGAATTAAAGTCAGTTTTTGGATGCTCTTGCTTTGGCCAATCTGTTGATGGACGTGAAAGCCATGATGGCCCTGACCACCACATATGATTTTCTACCAGCTGTTTGACTCGTAAACCACGAGAACCACAGTCAGCAGGATTGTCATTAGTGTTAACGTGATGCCACACTTTAGTGGAGTGCGTTTCTTGAATCGCGGCAACTCGATTAGCGACAAAAGTTTTAAGTTGGTAAGCTGGGGTTTTGATCCAGGTTAAGACAATTGTGGAATCAGACCACAAGAAGATGTTGTTTGTATTAAACATGTTGGGAAACAATGATGTGCAATGTGATGTCAACTTTGACAGCAAATGAGCTGCACATAACTCTAAACGAGGTATTGTGGTGCGACGTAATGGAGCGACACGACCTTTTG